AAGGATTCGTCTTCCAGCTCTTCTTCTTCTTCATCCAGCTCTTCATCTGAATCTGAGCCAGAGAAGCATCACAAGAAACATCATGGACACAAGCATTCCGTGAAGCACCATAAGAAGGATTCCTCTTCCAGCTCTTCTTCTTCTTCTTCTTCATCCAGCTCTTCATCTGAATCTGAGCCAGAGAAGAATCACAAGAAACATCATGGACATAATCACGCACGCAAACATAAGAAGAATAGTCAGTCTCATGAAAACAAAGAAAAAGAGGCAGTCATTGAGCAAGGGAAACAGTAAAGGATCGGAAATGTGTTAAATCGTTTTAGTTGTTTAGGAATTTTTAGATTGTACAAATGTATGTATTGTAAACTAAACTATTCATCAAAAATGTTTTTTATTAAAATCGAATAGATGCGTATCAACAAAGAAAGTTCAGAAAAGGCAACAAAGTAAAAAATTATACCAATAACTTATGCGAAAAACACCAGCTGCTATTCAAAACCGGAACTCGTTTAGGTCATCCCGATAGATATATCTAATTCGTATCTACTAGATGGAAACTTCATACTCGGTTAACAAAGATCAAACATCAACAACGACCTACACGGGGCTTAAAACTTAATTGAACCCGAACAAATTGTTAGCATACAACATCGGTGGAATTGAAGGATGCTGTACGGCATCGAAACAAGTGAATTTTGGCTGAAAATATCAATAACTGTCTATATTTAAACACCACTCACCTTCAAGTTTCCTCCTTGTATCGTGATGAAGGCTCCTTTATTACCCATTTGATCACAATAGTTGGGGGCCGAGAAGACCGTTATGCATTTCCCGTTATGATGAATTTCATATCCTTCTGGTTTGACTTCGTGACTTCTATGAATGGGTACTATTGCGAATATACCATCATCGAAAATACTAACCTAACAACATATTCGACACCATTCAGTTTACACCAAGCATCTGTTACGTCAGGACCGAATTGGCAACCAACTCCTCGTTTCGAACTCACACGACCAGGCAAGTCTTGAGGATCAGACCTATCGAGAAATAAAAAGTTAAAGCATTTCGGTATGGATATACCAGAGCAAGTCACACATGATACCACTATCGGGAGGCTGTCTGACTCTGTTGGTTTTTTTGATGTCTTCTAATGTGACACCATCATCTTTGAATAAGCCACCATGGCAAACCTGCATATAGATGACACCGTACTTGAAGAGCAGAATGACAACTTACAAAGATTTTTTTGTTGATCAAATGACACAGAGGAAGCAAACAGAAGATTTCAGTGAAGAACTCAGTCATTTCCATACCATACTTTTGCTTCACTTCTCCTTCGAATCCATACATCTTAATTGAAAAGTTCGCTCTCTTTTTTCAATTAAAACTGTGCGTTTTCGCGATAAATCGAGCTTTCCTTGCCAATTACTCAGTAGCAAGGACTGCTGAACGATTTCTGAGAAAACCTTTGACTCACCTTATTCATCACATCACTTTCATGATTTCCTCGAGAAAGATAGAAGTGTTCGCGATACAGAAGCTTGTAACCGAAAAGAGTAAGAATGGTCTCAACACTGAATGATCCTCGGTCCACAAAGTCTCCATTGAAAAGCTAAAAGAATAAGCTCACAACAATTCGGTACGATACTACTCACGTAAGGGTTGGTTTCGCTCGGAACTCCATTAATTTCGAATATGTTACAGAGATCATAAAACTGTCCATGAATATCACCACAAATAGTGAATTTTCTATCTTCAGGAACCTGGAACGGAATAGTTCAAATATAGGCAAATTGAATGATTAATTGATAACAGCTAGAAACTAACATCTATTTCAACAAGAGTAGGCTGTTGCTCCAAGTACTTATGTAAGTTCTGTAGAATATACAGGGCATACTTCTTATGAAGTTTCTTCTGCTCTTTGAAGCTTGTTAAAAGATTTTTCATAAACTCAGGGGTGATATGATCGCCAATATGCAATCCGTCGTAACCGGGCTCCACGTCTGAGAAGTGATTGATATCATGCAACACAGAAAAAACGAACCAATGCTATCTAAATTAATGTCCTTCAGCCTCGTAGACTTCACATGATCAACAGCTATAGCTTTTTCGAAAGCCATTCGCTTAACAATTTTTTTGCACTCTTCGTGCTTTCTCTTGGCATCCGGGTCATTCGGGAGAGCACCAGCAACAGTAGCATAATCACCCAGAGCTTTCTTGAATCGTCCCAACGCCATATTTGCTGTGGCTCTTCGGTAATAAGCCTTCAAAACAGTGTTTAGTTGAAAAAATGTTATCATTACTTTTATGAAGTTACGATCAAGTGCGATGGCTGAGTCAGAATCTTCCAATGCACTACCATACAACTCTTTCTTCAAATAAGCCATACTCCTAGAGAAAAATATGATGACGCATTCTAAATAAACTACGAACCTGTTAGCATATAGAGTGGCAGTTGGATTATACTCTATAGCCATGGTATATAATTCTATAGCCACATCATATGCCTGGTCTGAAACAAAACATAACAGTCAAATCGCAGAGATTTTTTCACCTTTGAAGAATTGATTGGCTTCTAGTCTTATTTTATCAGCCTTCTCAAATTCATCTGCATAACTTTTCTCTTCGATTTGTTCGAGCACCGTAGCAACAACATCATCAACAGATGTAGTCATCTAAGATAATACACGTATAAACAACATCCATTCAACTAACATCATCAATATGAAATGCGTAATGTTGACGCAAAAAATTTAGAATTACAGCAAATTTTATTTCAAACATTTAATTAACTTTAATTCAGAAATAATTAACAATCCATTCATACATCTAAAACGGATCGGAGGCTGGAAAATCTTTATTTTTATTTTTTTTCAAAGTTTATTTTACCTTTCTCCAGAATGAAGAACATCGAAAGAGGTGTTGATTTCATCCAACTTGTAACGGTGGGTTATGAACTTGTCGAGTTCTAGCTTACCTTCCAAGTATTGTTCGACAAGACCTGGAACGGATTGTACGCTTTTCCACCCTGAAAAAAAAAGATCAATTATTTCATAAGAATTGTTTTACCTCCGAAAGCAGTTCCTCTCCAAGTTCTTCCTGTTACCAGTTGGAAAGGTCTTGTAGAAATCTCTTGTCCTGCTCCAGCGACTCCAATGATACAAGATTCACCCCAACCTTTGTGAGCAGCTTCCAAAGCTTGGCGCTGAGAATCAAAAAACAGCATGAGATTCCGATTAGATGGAATACCATTGTTTGGACGTTTCCGATGCATTCAAATGTGTAATCGAATCCTCCATCGAACTTTTCTACTAGCCACGATTGGAATGATACTCCTTCAGGACAGTCTTTGGGGTTAACTACGTCTGTGGCTCCAAAAAGACGAGCTGAAAAAAATTAATACAAAAGAGCTATGGCACAAGTATATACATGTTTCTAATTTGCTTGGTAAGATATCAATACCAACGATTTGCTTCGCTCCAGCAGCTACTGCACCCATAATAACAGCCAATCCTACAGCACCCAAACCCCAAACAGCAACAGTGCTCCCTTTCTCAACCTATAACATACTGCTTTTCCAATTTTAATTCAGGAAGTACTCACCTTGCATGTGTTCAGAACAGCTCCATAACCTGTAGACACCCCACATCCCAAAAGACAAGCTTTATCAAGTGGACAATTGGGATTGATCTGAAGAATTTCGATACTTTTCTCATCGCCTCCTCGTCTAATATACTTTCGCCAAAGAAATATCAGCAACAACGGTATATTCAGAGAAAGTAGAACATCCCATGAAATGGAAAAGAGCTCTTCCATTGCAAAAAAGACGACCTGTTCCATCAGGCATTTTCCCTTGGCCTTGGGTGATTCTAAAAATGATAAGATTTCATCAAATCATAAACTCACGGCGTTACCTGATTTTCTGGCAAAGATTCGTTTTGGGGTTGAGGCAATAGTCGCATTCTTTGCACTGTGGTACATAGAGTGGAACAACATGATCTCCTGAAGACTTCCCATAAGCATACAGACCTTCTACAAAACCTCACCTGCTTTGAAATCAGTGACTCCTTCTCCTACGCTTTCGACGATACCAGCTCCTTCGTGTCCAAGAACCACTGGGAAAAGCCCTTCAGGGTCATGTCCATCCAAAGTGTAAGCATCAGTGTGGCAGACTGCTGTGTGGGTGATCTGAGAACATTCAGAATACATTTATTCCAATTTGACACAATTCTACCTTGATACGGACTTCATGGGCTTGTGGAGGGTGCACTTGGATAGTCTCAATACAAAGAGGCTTCTTAGCTTCCCAAGCTACGGCAGCTTTGCAAGTGATAACCTGAAAAAATTCATCAAAAGAAAAAAAATTTTGCAAACCTTTCCTTCGGTGGACATAACGCACGTGTCCTTTTGACAAATATAATCAAGGAAAGGCTGCAATGACCCGATAATCGAGACAAACGTGCTTCGGCAGTAGTGTATGATAGAAAATGGAGCGATAAGCAACCAAAACGATTATTTAACTATGGCTGATAGGAAGAATATTTTAATCAAGTAACAGGCTAAAAACAATAATAAGGTAGAAATCAACAAAATCAACAAAAAACAGAAAACAAATCAACGAGATAATGATACAACCCACTCGAAATGGTTAGTTTGCGGAAACATGTCAACAGGTTGAATATAATCAATACTGAATGGTGTTCCGTCATACTTTTTCGACCTAAACTCAGATTTGTTAGTGGAAGAGTTGCAACAAACTTACGTGGGTCGGCAAAAATCAACCAAATTTTTCGTAGCTGCGTTCGGATCACATGAAACGAACACCAGACGTTTCAGTTTGTCCATCTGAAAGTTTATATGGTGCTCATCAAGAAAATTTTTTCATACCTGTCTACAGCCTAAGACGACTTTCTCGTGCAATCCAGCTCTTGGTGGATCTAATATTCCAACAACGTTAGAAGTGTCTAGCGAGAATCCGGTAGGCATATTGTACTTAAGGCTTTTAAAAACATTTTCCGCTTTCCCTGCTAGGTAACGGCATCTTAACCAAGTTCCAATTAAGATACAAAAAAGGTAATTTTACTTTTCCTCAGGAATGTTGTTCATTCGACAATTCATTTTGGCATCTTCAACTGCTGACTCAATCATTTCGATTCCTACACAGCACAACTGAACATCGAAGACTTATATGAAACCGAGAGATAACAAACCTTATCATTGTTGAACGACTTCATCAAACATTGTCCAATTGTACCGGTGCCACAACATACATCAAGTAGTACAGTAGATTGAGGCTAGAAAGACGATGAGAACATAGTTATTGTGAAACTCTTACTGATGTTTCTTTTTCATCCAACTTGATACGTTTACATTCCACACCCTCATCTTCAGTTTTCAAATTGTCCTCGACTTTTTTCTCTGCCTCAGGAGGAGTAATAGCTGTTGCTTGCTCAGCAGAAGAGGTTATCCCACATGCTTCTCCTGTGAAAAGAATATAAAAAAGAAAGTGATGGTTAAGTACCGATTGTCTGATATAACACACACGCAGCTTGGCTGTTAGTTTGGAAAAAAGCTGACGGGGAAACTCGAAAACGACAATCCATCAAACTCTCATAGATGAAAGGAGCGCCTATGATAAATCCAATAATTATAATTAACTAATTATGAATTACCTCCTATATGCACAAAATCAGGAGTGTCACTGCAATGCTCAATGGATTGCCAGTAGAGCGAAGTTACACGATATCCTTTATTGGTGAAATTGCTAATGTCTAATAGTCTGAAAATTGGAATGATGAAAACTATCCATCGGACAGCACTCACCTAGCGGAAAGTTTTTCCTTAATTTCAGCCTCTTTTTCGGGACCAAAAGGATAAACACTGACGATCACCATAACGTCACCACCGAACTCTCGTACAGTCAACAACCTCCACACTCCAGTCTTTTCAGCTTCGTTCAATGGGCGAAGTCCTGAGAGAAATATTGTTTCAATAACTTCAGAAATTATAGAACACCTGTTTCCAAAACAAACTCCTTGAAATCTTTAACAATCGCTTTAGTTTGATTAGTAATGTTCTCAACGTCATCGGCAGGAATCACGTAATGCTCATTTTTGGAATATCGACCTCCAACAAATCCTACACAAATCTCAAACAACATTATAAAAAAATTCCAAGAAACTATTGATACTTCGCCATCAAGAGTCAATCCACAAGTGAACTCGCATTTGTTTCGATACTCTTTAATTTTTGGGGATGGCTTGATCTAAAAATAAAAAAACGTATTATCCAGAAAAAAAGGATTAGCATACAGGTCTGAGCAAATGAACTGGTCGAGGAACGTCATTTCTTTGAGCTTTCCTCATTTGCGAGACCAATTTTCTTACAACGCTGAAAAATACACTTCAGAGTTTACTGTTGTCAAACTTGAATTACTCTAGACTAGCTTCGTGCTTCTTCTTTAATTGTTCCTCATAAGGTATGTTATGTAGGGGAGTTACACTCTCTAACGCAGTCTTTGGAACTATTTTCTCTCTGCCATTCTCGCCATTCTGAAAAACAATGCTACTTAGGAAAACTATTGTATCTACCTCTGAAGGACCTGAGTTAAAAGTTCTCACTTCGGTCAGAGCACGTTTAACTACCAATGTACATCTCTTGATTTGAAAGCCATTCAAAACCTTAGGAAAAAAATAAAAACCTGCTAATCAGTATAAAAAAACCTCTATCGCTTTGTCTGCTTCTTCAGGTGTAGCAAGAGATACGTAGGCAGAACCTTTCAGCTGCCTGACCTTCTTCGGATTCAATCCTTCCAAGTTTCTGGAACCTAACTGTTTCAGTATTTTCCCACAAGCTTACTTTGACAAGAAGTGTTTAAACTGCTTAAATCCCAGAATGGGAAGGTTCGTTATATGGATTCTGTCTTTGTCATATTTATCTTCGTTTTTCTCTGTGGATTCAGGAATAATGGTTTCGGCAGTTTCTTCTACAGGAGTAATGATTTCTGCAGTTTCCTCGATTGGGTTAACATTTTCTTCTGACATTTCTGAAAACTTTCGATATTTTAAGCTTAGCAAAATTTGTTTGAACATGATATCGATCAAAACATTTCAGTTGTATGGAGAAAATTTATAATAACCATTATTATTAATTCAAATGTTGAAATAGTGGGCTTACACGCTGTTTACCATTTCTACCCGTATTGATCGTTGGAAGAAATTAGTAGACTTGCGACTTAGATTTGTACGTTGATCATTACTTTCTTTAGTTAAATGTGATTGATTTTCTATCACCGATAATTGCTTAAAATTTTCTGAAGCAATCCGCTTTTTCGAGAATTTCATGGGAAATCTAATAAATACAATGAAAAGCCTTGTGATATCCTTGAAAGGATCTAGAAGGTTCCAATCATATATAGCTCTCTAGTTTTCCCATATCGATTTGCATATGATTTAAGAGAAAATTCCTTTTTTTATCTCGAAGGAATGCTCCCCAAGTTGTTTCATCCATTTCAAGAACTAAGAAGTTCTATTTAATGTTGGTCATTACGCCACGAACACTTGGTCGAACGCATTAGACTGGTCTTCTTCTTTTTTGTCATCCATAATTCTTTATCATTCGTTCGCTATAGAAATATACATATTTCTTCAACAAATTCATTATAAGAGAAATTGATATATCGTCTCATAAACATCATTCATACTCTGAGCCATAATATCCTTTCAGATAATGGAGGAAAGTAAAAATGAGGGGGAGAATCGGATAAACTTGGCTAATGAAACAGGAGCATCAACTGATAGTGATGATGACGCTAAAATAATCGTACAAGATTTGTTAGAATGCCCCATTTGTTGCCTACCATTCTCAAGACCTCTTCAACTGAGTTGTGGTCACTCTTACTGCGCTAATTGTGTTGATCGAATGGTTAGCTAGTTGATCAATTACGAGAAGTATTAGTGCTTTCTTTAGGTTGAAACGGTTACTAGACCAGGACAGCCTCATATACTTTATGGGCTCCAATGGGATCAAGACTTAGCCGTGAGTGGATAAAATTCAGTTGAATGCAAATTGTTCTGTTTCAGAGAGCACTTATCAACAGCCAAAACCGTATTAGTCATGGTATTCCATCTTTTGCAAGCCCTTTACATATTCCGAATAACAATAATAATAATGATAACAGCAATGGTAGCAATTTACGTTTGCAAAGCGGGTTAGGAGGCTTGGCGGATGTCCACCTAGAACAGAATCATGTAAGCTCTTTCTTTTGTTATTTTTATTCGTTTTTTTGTCAGATGCCATTAGGTCGACGTTCCTCTGTAAATGAGAATATGTTCGGAGATTATGTTTATGATATGAGTGCGTTTTTATAATTTCTTAGCTGAAAAAGATGTAAGAAATTCTCATTGATATTATTTCAGCGGATCAGGAAACAAGTCGCCGGATTCGTTGTCCTGAGTGTAGAAAGTACACTGTGGTTCCCAGAGATGGTTTACCGATTAATTATCGTCTACAAGGTATGCTCACTTTCTGAGAATCATTTTATAATCTTATGTTTATTACAGAGATGATAAATCGATGTATAGTAGCTCACGAACACGTAAGAAAGTCCCAATAAGAGTTTTGTTAACATTTTCTTCCAGAAGAAGAAAGAGACCATGTTAGCATCAACATGTTCTGCTTGCAAGGATAAACTCAAAGCTGGTATTTTCTTCTATTGTGAAAGCTGTTGTTCCAACCTGGTGAGAATATCTTTTGTTAACGTTCCGAACTATATATGTAGCTTTGCTCTCTATGTGCGTTACGGTTCCATAATGGTCACAAAATTGTTGAACGACGAGGACTGTCAAAGGAAGAAAGACAGGTTCGTTTCTTCTCATTAGTTGATTCTTGAAGTTCTTCTTCAGAAAGGCAAAGACAAAGTCAACGAATATGCCGCTTCTTCAACGTTCTCGTTCGATACTGTGTATAACATGTTAAAAGAGTCGTATGACGACAATTACAAGCAATTAAAATCAGTAAGTAAATGTATTCATGGATTGGCTTTGGAGTTTTGTGATTTCAGAGTTTTGATCTCTGTTTTCGTCCTTTCTATCTTCTTTCTGGTAATGTCGATTGCACTGCAGCCATCAATAGTGAAGCCGAATTAGAGGAAACTGTTGAAAAGGCTAGAGTGTTAGCAACCAAATTCCAATCTGTGAGTTCGAATTCCGTTAATGTGAGTTTCAATGATTTCTTAGGTTGTGGGGTCAATGGAAGAATTAATCAAAGATCAAACAGCAAACGTTAAAGCGGTTTGCGACGAACTCCAGCAATTCATGCGGATCAAGAAAATTTCATTGACTCGTTTAAAAAATGCTACCGACGAAAGAGTATGTTACTGCATGAAAAAAAAGAAAAGTTCATCATCGTTCAGATGAAAAACAGCACAGGATCGCCTTGTATAAAGAAACGTCGAATTGAAGTTCGCAGGGGTTTTCCATCATCTTCTACTTTACCTCCTCAACAAGATCAGCAACCTCTCCGTCTACGCCGTATGAGTCCTCCTGATACTGAGACAGTTTTAAATCCCCTCATTCTCCAAACACACAGAGTCTGTTCTTTTTATGTTGAATATGATCAAGTAAAATGTTTAAGCTTCAACTAACAGCTCGAAGAAACCGACACACGGATAACGGGGAAGACTCTTCCTCACCCAGGTCCGATGAGGCGTTGGCAAGCGGAAGTAAGCCAGCTTTAATGTGCAACGTATACAAATAATTTTAGGTTCTGTTGAACATCCATGGGATGAAGACGAGGATATTACTATATTAGAAGCCCTCGATCGATCATCATCACGATCATAAATTAAGACAAGCTTTAAAAGCCTATTTTTCTGTACATTAACAACTTTTGAACATTTCAATTTGCATCTCATTTCATCTTACCATTTCCAAATCCATGAACACTTGTAAAATATTTATTGACAAACTCGACGTTAATTGTAAGTAATCAGAACCTTTTGAGGTAACGTTTTCAGAACATGGAAGCATGATTGTCGAGGTATGTCTCACATGCGAAATCCTTTGTATATGAATCTTGTGAATGATGACATTATGTACATATTTTGATTGATAATTAATAAGATATGAGAAAATAAATTTTTTTTTCTGCATCCAGTTTCTCCTTTTTTAGAGCTGAGTTCTCATCTTAGTTATTCCTACTTTCACTAGTTTCTCTCTTACATGGCAAAGGTAGTTCTATACCCCCGAACTCGTTTGAATGTACTTTGTCTAAAGGGAAAACATCATCTGAGTTGATTAAAAGTCACTAATCTCACGAAGCTCTGGCTAAAGATAATGAGTACGATTCCCCAGGACTCTTGTCCCAGTATGCTTCTGGCTTTAATTGCATTTAAAAACACTTAAGAAGATAATTCCCTCGTTTTCGAAGTCTCGTCAAACGCAATGAGGTATTGCAGTCCTCTGATTTGACTCTCCTGCAAGAGATGCACGTCAAGCAGGCTTTTTTTTTGAATCAGTAAGCTTACATGCCTGAACAAGCTGTGAAAAGTGGAAGCAGTTTTGGAACTGAATTTTAAAAGTGAGAAGAAAAATCGAAAAAATTTGTAGAAAGCGAATGGAGAGAAAGTTTATCAACGTCTTGTCCTAGCTATATCCATCATGCTGATATATCAGTATGATGTGGGTTTTATTCATTTACTCTTTGGTAGTCCGTACTTTATACATTCGTTGGGGAAATAAAGTTTTTTCTGTATTTGTTTCCAATCCTCGAGGGTTTTAATCTCATTTTCCTACTTTGACTGATGATGTTTGTGTTCAAAACAAGTGCTGTTTAAGATGCTAGTTCGAGCTTGTATTACGTCATGTTCTCTTCTGAGATTGAAATCGTTGCATGGAGTTGCATCATCTACAGGTAAACAGCATCTTAAATCGAATCACATGAAGGCTGTTCAGGAAGATTCTTTTCTCAAAAGCTTGTTCCACTTGCCTCCATCAACAAGGACGATTTAGGCAACAGAGTACTTCTGTGTAAGGAGACTTTGCCTCCTGGGGCAGAGAAGACTCCTCATGACGTATTGAGTACAGCAGTCTTCGGAGCCAAAGTTAGAAAACGATTCTATAAAAAGAAAATGGTGATTATAGGTTTTATCGTTATCGTCATCAGTCGTGGGAGCCGTCATGGTCCCTGTTCTTTCGAACTACATGTGGGAAGCGGCGGCACAGAGACCGACCATGATGATGTTTACATTGGGTAAAAATCTAAATTAGGTAGAAAGAAGGAATTTTTATAGTCGCCAACTCTTTTCTCGTCCTATTGTCATTCACTCCGCTATTGCTGCATTTTTTGGCAAAACGCTTCCCAGTAGAGCTTTATTACAACCATGAGACAAAGGTAATTTCGATTAGACATGTTGTACCCGACCTGTACTTTAATCTTTTGTTGTAGACTTTCACTTCGGTACATTATGACTTCTTCCTCCGGAAAAAAGCTCGTCGATTCCATTCTTCAGATGTTGTTGATGCACAGAAAGCTCCAGAATTGAAAAAGGTAAACAAGAGAGAACATAAATCTTCAAGGGATGACAGGATAAGATCGAGATTTATTCTTATTTTGTAGGTTTGGATTCCACTGGCAACAGCTTTTGTGCACCACCAGCCCCTTCTTATCTCTTTAGATAAGAGCAATTATGTCGATCAGATTGCATTCGATGAATTGACAAAAAACATCGAGATTCCAAAGAACCACGATTAGGAAAATAGAAATTTAAAATTTGTTTTTTCATCAGACGGGTTAGGTCTCTCCTTAGGTTTTAGCAAAGTTGTTAAGTTGATGTTGTTACACATAACCTTTTTCAAATTGTTTATTATTAAAGCTCGTTTACATGAAAGGATTCTAGATAACAAATGTAAAACATTGATAGACCCGTGCAATAGAACCAATATAAACTGGGTATGAGAGAAAGAAACAAAAATATAAATTAGTACAAATCAACTTATCACAGAAGCAACAGAGCCAAATCTATGAATCCTAGTGTTTAACCCGTTTTTTATAGTGATCGACTGTCTACCCTCACAGAACACCGTCATTTGGTCAGATATATGAGCCTAAAGTACATGAATTTAAAACAATCGACGCATCAGGTGTCACCGACCTGTACGCGTTCTCCAAATTGTGATAGATCGGCTGCATCAAGAACTATAACTCCGGTTCTCGGCAAGGACCCCCGGAAACTGAAATGCGATTTTGAGAAAATAAAATGTATTGCAAGTATTACTCTGTGAATACTACATTCGAGCGGTCATTCCTTTCTATCAAACAATCACGTTGGAGAATGAGATCCACATCTTTTCCCTGCAAACACATTTCTATGACAAACGGAAAAAAAGCGAAATGGGCACCTCCACGATGATATCAACAGACTCACACGCAAACAACGGTGCGTCAGCTGACAAGCAAATAATTCTGTTGAAACACTGGGCAGTTGAACATAAAAGAGGAGTCCAACCAGATTGAATCTACAAGAAAGCTAACAAATTATCCATCCTGTCAAGTATATCCGGGCGAACCTGATAAGAAAACGTGCACTCCTGATCGATTTTGGTTGTGTCAGGGATGTAGCTTATTATGATTGGTCCATTTGTACAAAGCTGAATAAGACAAGAATGTTAAAAAGATTTAATTGCATTTGTGAACCTCGTAAGAATCTTTGGTGAACGTGGGCCTGATCATCATCGCAATCAGACCGGCAATTGGGAAGGTAGAGTTAAAAATAAAATGCAATACGACGTCGATGTCAATCAATTTTCAAAATCCTTATAGATATACGTAAGGCTATATATGAAGAGAACAATATCCAATAACAAACATAAATGAAATAATTGGAGAATATGATATCATGATGGAATGGAGAAGAATGAGGTAGGTAATGGTGTGACTTAGTAATTATTCGTGTGGAAAATATTAGCTAATTTGAAATAATGTTCTTGTCGACCCCAGTCAAGAACTTTTTGATATGGCCCAGTTGTGGCTTCTGAATATCAAAGTTTAACTCAAAGTTTAACCCTGATAAAGAAGAAAGCAAGTGAAATATTAACCTGTGATAGTCCCGATCTTAGCTGAACCGTCAAGTTTTGATAGGGCTACTGAACTAGGCACAATTTCTAGAAAAGATCAAATGATCAAACTCAATAGAAACTGATATTATGTTACCTGGTGTAGGTATATCTAGACTCATATTATGATGAAGCATTTTGGAATAGTGTAGAGGATCTTTCACGGCGACACCCCAGCAAGGGAGTTCTTCGATGAGGTCCATGCTGAAACAAACAGCGGAATGTTGGAATTTCAACGTTCAGAAAACACGAAGGCGTGGAAACATTTCAAAGAAATCACAATTCGTAGAAAAGAAAAAACATCGACTTCCGCAGCAAAATAGGGAGAAGATATAAACATGAAAATCATACAAAACGCCGAGTAGGAATATAGCAGTACGCAAGCGGCGACTCGCGACATACGAAAATCTTTTCGAAAATAGAAAAAAGATATGAACGAGCATATGAAGGGTTTCAGAATCCTTATATACTAATATATCAGAACCTGAATGGCCAGGTTATATCTTAAGCTAATTAACAAGGCGGAACTATGAGAAGTGACGTGTTGAAAGCGAAGAATTGCGAAACAACGCGTATTTAAAGTGAGCTCGGTCTGCGTGCGTGTTGTTAGTGAAACAGAGACCTTGTTCTATGGCCTGCCAGAGTGAGAGAGGAAAATGAGTAGCAAAGATCAGAACTTAATATTAAAATCATTGTTATCAAAACAACATACCTAATAAGGTAGAGTGTGGTATAAGAAATTAAATGTTTGGGTCTTATTCAAAAAAACATTTTTTAACAAAAAGAAAAGCGGCTAGACGTGAGGAGACAGAAACATCACAAATATGCGTAACAATGTGCGAATGTGTGTGTGTAAAGAAACAGAGCAATGATAAAGTTGTGATATCAGACCACCACATGATAACATGATTAGGTCAAAAGATTAATTCGGAAGTGATGTAACTTCGCCTACAGCTTGAAGTGATTCAAAGCGTTCAACAAATTCCACGCGCCTTTTATAGAACCTTGTGATAGACATCCTAGACTTTTCTAGTTACAACGCGTGTGAAACAAAAGAAAATGACGCTGAACGACTAAAATTCGTCAAAACAAGTATACAATTAGTTGTAGCAATCTTAAAAACCGATCATATTCCTGGAACAAACTAATAAAAATAACAAAAATATTACAGAATTAAAATACACAAATAAACAAAACAAACAGATTCGAAAAAATATTGGAAAGCGACCGCACTGTACTAAATATTTTTGAAAATAAAAACAACTACGTATATCACGTACAAATCCCAATATTCAAATTTTGCGCATGCGGGGGCGTCCGACGTGCAGTGATGCTATTAAAGTAAACTTTCTGAGAATTAGTCATAGATAATATTTTCGTGGCGAGGGAAAAGGCACGAGGGTCAGAGTCAAAAAAAAATTTAGTTCAGATTTATGCCCGGTTGTGACATTTTAGTACATATTATGGTTTTGATCTATCGTTCTGTGTTTCTATTCGCTCACTACCATTTACTCAACGTGACATCATTCCCGTTTTTTCATTTATCAGCTCTTTTCCCGTTTTTTTGTGGCTGATCTTCTGTTAATTTGATTCCCTCTAATTTGTTTATTTTCTCAGTTCCTTCTACATCTGCTGAGATTTTTTTTTTCGTCAAACCCAGTAATTAGCCTAACTGTTCTTCAGCGAGACAGTCGATTGTTTCAGCTGACAGAAATCAATGGAGTAGAGGGGAGAAGAATAGAAGCCTCTTATGGAAATATCTTTTTTCAAAACAGATCTTACAGCAATAAATACTTGGTTGGTCTGTATTACATTTCCATTAAAGCCTTTAGTCATTATATAGTTAAACAGAGAAGAGCCATCTGGTTGTCTTTTGGAGAAGATATGTTGTGTTTAGTATGTCATGGTATAGTCTTTACAAGCAAAAATGTTTTCGATAAGAAAATATTTTCATTTTGCTGATTTCTGTTTAACCTGGTAGCGTCTATCAACATTTTTCGTACATAAACATTTTTTTCCAGACTAGTTTTAACAACACTATTAAGAAAGACAAAAACTGTCGAAAACCATTACTTGAAACCATGAGAAGCCTCAGCTTGAAAGAATGATTAGTATTCTGGGATACAATGTTCTCATAAAGGCTTTGGGATTGCTCAAGTGTCCTGCGGCTGCATCTGCGGTCCAGCAGTAATGGCGATCGATTTTGTGGTGACTACGCCGCCGAGGGCAACCCTCTGTCAATGGCATTCTCGATTGGAGAATGAAAACCATTGCTGATGTTCCCTTATTCTATTTAGCTTCAAAGTCAAGACAAGTCTGGTGCATTGTCTATTGTTTGGAACTCTTAGTTATTACAATAATTACCCATATGAAAAGTATCATTCTCTTTTTGGACGCACAGCCCGGTTGCATTGTGGATGTTTCTGGAACAGAAATTGTGTTTACCTCTTCCATTGTTGGAAATGGGTCTCTTCAGCCCGCATCGATTATGCGAGTTCATACCATGCCTCTCCAATACTGCGAGAGGCCGTTGTTCACAGAAACATTAATGGGTCTCAAGGTAACAAATGGTCGCTCCGGCTATTACATAGCTCGTCTGTTATGAAGTATCAAGTTTTCGTGATGATTTTTTTTAATATGAATTTACGTTGAGTCAGCTGTTAGAGATTTCACTCCACGCAGACTCTAGAAGTCAGCTGCTTTTGACTTTCTTTCATAATAAAATTCAATAAACACTACAAGTACTTGTGGAGTTCATGTTGCCTCGTGACGAGGTAAATAACACAGTTGAAATTCTCCATTCTGATATGTTAACCTTTCGATAGAACACGAGCTTTCATCATATTTAAGCGCCGTTTTTATCATGAAACTCTTCTTATTATTGTCTTGTATGGGGCAATATGTGCTCATATCGATTTCTCCTATTTTTCTTGTTAGTTTATTGAAATTCTCGTTGTGTGTATCTTTCCGAATTCTTCCTTTTGCATATTTTCGATGTTTCAACTGCGTTTCTGTGGTTTAACTCAATTTTCTATTGATTCTCATTATATGTCTTCGTTACTTCTTTTCCTAAAATATTATTACACTCAGTAATTTCAGAAGTTTCGTTTTCAAAGCTTGTGACTAACTTATCTTTTGAGGTAGACGACACTCTGCTGCTATCTAATTTTCTCAGTTTATCAATTGCAGAACACTAACTCGATAAAAATGGATTCTCCCTCCGATCTCTCTCCCAATGCACCTCCTAGTGGATTTGATGAGTCTGTGCCGCTTTTTTATTCCAATGTTCAAGTGAGTCGAACTCTGCTAAAGCTACTTGAACACACTTTTCATTAAGGGATTGACACCTTCTCTTGATCAGAAATCAGCTGACGGTTCTGTAGATTCAAGTGGATTCGAGAAAGTCTGTTACAGCCCTCAAAAACTCAATTATCATGTATTTCTAGGTTGAACATGATGTTCTTGAAGAGTACGGCAATCAGTTTGCGAATCAAATGCAGCAATCAATCTTCGGCAATTCCTCTGAAGATCCTTTTGTGAGTAATTAGTCATTTGATTTCCAAATATTCCTATGAAGAGATTTGCTGACACGTTACAAATTGTTGTGCAAATACATTATGAAACTTGCACACGTAGCTTCCACTTCATCAACTCCTCTTGTTTTCCGTTATAAAATGCTTTCCTATCGATATCCAACGGTTACTAGATTTTGCCTTTATTGATCAAGCTATACTTGGCTGTTTGGTTGTCTGGCGCAGATTTCCAGCTCACTTAAACTTTGCAAAAACTTCTTTGATGGCAGCTCATCTATCTTCTATTTTTCTCACTACCATAGTGCTCATGTTACATATAGATTTATTACCTTTTAGGGACAAGGAAGCACAGGCTTCTTTGTTTCTCCCTCTCTAAAGTCCTTTTTCATTTTATGATCACTGTGGCTTGGTCAAATACCAGATCATCATATTTTATATTTTTAAGAGTAGGTGTGTTTGCCATAAAAGCCTAAAGTACGGTCATATTATTCGTTTTTGATGATAGAAGACTTTCTATAAATTGCAATACATCTTCTTGCAGCGTTCTTTTCAATTATTTGTCTTCTGGTAAGGTTTGAACTATTCTACTACTCGTTTTTTTATTGTTTGTTTCTTTTCCCATCTTTCTCTCTGCTCTTTTGTCTCATGAGCAACTAAAAAACGCTTTCTCTAATTTCCCTTTCTCTTCAGTTCCTTTAAATTCTTCCCAACTTTATTTCTTTCTTAATAGAGTTTAAGCATGTTCAGCATCTCTCATCTGCCATTCCTCATCCCTCTTACTTTTTATGACTATCTCTTTCTTCATTTTCATATCGTTTCCAATATTCTACTCTTTTCAGAAGACCGATATGTTAGCTGGTGAAGAAGCTGGAGATACTGTGAAAATCGATGATGTTCCATTATCCCCAGAACATCATGTTGTCGAAAAGCGTTCTGGTATGTACTTTCATATGCTATTTTCTCTATCTTATTGCCATAATTACTACTGCATCCATCTCTTAATTCTAGCAGGAAATTGGAATTTGAGAGTAGAACCACTTAATACTTCCAAAATTCATATGACGTCTTTAGCAATTTGACGGAAGTGGATACAAATTTTGATTTTCGCAACCTTGAACACCTTGATTTCATAACTCAGTAGTTTTGCTGTTTTTTGAACTCAGAAACTTTTCAACACCTTTACTCTATGATTCATAGCTCTCTTTCAGTTGATGAGGATCTTCCTAACTTTGAAAATCAGCCTGTGGAAGATTTGGTTTGTTGCAACAACTCCTAACAATCACAAATTGTGTTCGTTCAGATTTCTGGTCTAGAAGAATCTTCCCAAGCTATTGTCGATGATGCCCTGAAAAAAGCTGAAGCTGTTTTGACTGACGGTTTGCAATATACATATATAGGGACTGAATAATTTCTCTCTCCAGATTTCCTTGGATCTGAACAATTCTCGAACGAACCTGTTGCTCATGCTGTCGAATTCTTACCACCCACTGAAATCAGCGAAGTTCCACAAGATGTAAGAATTGAATGAGGGATTTACATAACTCGCCATATATTCCACTTTAGGTAGATGACCTCGTTCAGTTACAGGAAAGCGACCAGTTTCCCGATATTGTTTCCAGTTTGGTTACCAAGTCTCCTTTTGATGGTAAGCTGGTAACTATCAGTGAAATATCATATTTGTACTGTGTAGATCACCATCACCAATCAGATGTATCTTCTCATGATGACGAACCCAATTTCCATAGCCAAACTCCGGAAGAGGTTCCTTATGAGCGTTCTGGTCCACTTACGATTCCTGAACTTCCGGAGGTTAATATTTAATTAAAGCTTGCCCTAATTATTTCCTTATTTAGAAGCTCGAAGGCCTTGTTGAGCGAGCTGAGGAAGATTCTATTCCTGAGCCAGATATAGAACCGTAGGGAGCTTGTGAGGTCTCTTTAATCATTATTTTTTTTTCAGTGTTCGTGGAATCAGCGAAGCATACCGAGCCCCAACTCCTCCCCAAGTTAATATTGTTAGTGAAGCGCCTAGTTTGAGTTTCAGAGAACCACCACGGTTTTCAGAGCCAGGTATATTCAGTTACACAATTTTTATTTACTCTAATTTCAACAGCAGCAGAATCTTCTGCTCCTCCAACCGTTTCCAAATCATCAAACAACAGTGGCGAAGCATGGTTCGATTTCAAGACTATCGACCCGAGAGGTTTGTTGTTTTGTTTGGGTTTCAACCACATGGCCTCATATGTATATTGCATTAGTTGTATGGTCTCTTGTGGACATCGCATAATGACTGGCTAGAAAGGACTAATGCTTGTTGGTCCCTGCCCTTTAGCCTTGGCTGCTTGCCAGCAGTCGATATTTAAGGCCACAAATAGCCCTTTGGTCACATGAGCCGCCTAGGCTCCGTTTATGCTAATCAGGGTGGGTGCATGAGCACAACATGGTCGTATTGTCTCCAATTGTTGGGAAAATGTGATCAATACGAGAATGGGTGGACCGGTCATGGGGAGGGAGGGGAGGGAAGAGTCATCCGGGCTGGACCTCCAATGGCTTAAGCTCTAATAGACAATGCAGTTGTGAGAGAGAAACTGCAGCATGCCATTTATAGCTTGCTAGCCAATATTAAGGATATATGCTTGTGTTATTTCTCCATCTTCATATTTCTTGCAAAGCATAAACTACAACGATACTTTCTCTGTGAACATATAAATTGTGGGAAAGTTCATAAAAATTATTTTGTTCGTTCCTCTTCTTTTTCTCTCTCTCTCTTAACCTAAAGAGAAGATACTTTCATTGGAGTGGCACAAATTGAACGACGCCAGCAGTTAATTTTGTTGTCCAAGATCGAATTTGGCTGAATTCGAATGGGCAGTATGCCAAAGCCCAGCTTCATGTCTTCGATTTTTCTATTCGGCTGCCAAGCGTTTCGTCATGTGACTACTTATAATGTTGTTCTCTTTCTTTTGAGTTTCTCTACCAAATTTAAACAATGAAAATGAGCTATTTCAAAATTCTTCTTGCTCGGCATTTTCCCGCGTAGTCAGCCTGATGGTTGTCCCATGTGTGTGTATTAGAGTATAACTAACACATTGCCTTTTGTGTCAGAACCTGCTTTTTCAACCTCCAAATGAAATTTCAACTTGGCAATTACTGTGCGTAGCCAGTAATATGTTAGTTCTGCAAAATACCGTTACGGCCAAGATATTATGTATTTTGAGAAATTCAAATTTCCCTGAAATATTAGTCTCTAGTCTCTCTCCGCTTTTTTTTTATTTTTACGCTCTTTGCGGAAAGATTTACAAATCTCTCGTTCAAATTTTCGAAAATTGATTGACAGTTCTCCATTCATTTATATTTTCGTCCACACATAATGTTATGTTTCTCTTATCTTGTCGTCTTTGTCATCTCAGAATACCATCTTATGATTCAGATTTTGTGAAATCATGAGTAAAGCAGGCGCTGTGGGACGCGGGCTATATGCTGTTTTGGCCTTTTTAGTTCAATCAGTTTTTCGAGTTGGGTTAAATGTCTCACTCGTGGCCTCCGTTTGTATGACGATATATGCAGTTGGATGTTTTTCAAAAGAAGCTCTTAAACAAAGAAAAGAAGGTGAGTATGAATTGCGAATTGTCGCGACTTAGTTTTGGCTGTTGTGAGGGGGGGGAGGAAGGATGATGGGAAAATTCAAACAATTGTTTCGCTTCTCAGCTAATTATCGTGGTTCGGCTGAAATTAGGAAGTGAGAGCATATGGGCTCGTTATTGTTGAATCCGTTAATAGCACTTCTGTAAAGAATGGTGAATTGCAAACCTCCCGTTTCGCGATTCTCCGGAACGTTTGAACTGCAAAATTGAAGAGTTCTGCAGTTACGACCGAAGCAATAGTGATAAGCTGTCAGTTTGAGTATTTTTTTAGCCAATACTCCAGGTCTTATTTAGTAAATAAATGACAGGAACTGATAAAAAGACATTTATCGCTAGCCGCGTTGGAACCAGCACTGAACTGCAAAGGCAGTAGTGGTCAGAGCTAGGTCATATATGGTTTGTTGGAGATGAAATAGTGTGAACAAAGTTTGAGGCGCAGGCGATGTACAGGTAGATATAACGTGGTTTGTAAAGAGATACGGAAGACATTTGTTTTTAACGTCGATGTCATTGTGTGGAGACGTTAAAAGTGTCCCTCTTTTCATCTCTCTTTCTATCGGCCTTCCATAAGTCTCTTTATCTATCGTATTCTATCTGTTCTCCTTCAACAGGAGACATAGACGCAGGGTAGACTGTGTGTGAGTTTTGTTGGATAACCGACCATTCTTTGCGATCCCTTGTGTCTTCTCGTCGTCAGCTCTCGGCTCGTCCACCTCTTGGTTACTGAAAAATGGCCCAACCAAAGCTCAGAAAAATTGTTAAGACCTATGAGCCAGCTAAGGATTTCCCTGGAAAAGGTAATTACCTCATACGTTTTCTTTGGTGCCTATGATGGATGATGGAGAAATGTCATGTAATCTCTCCGAGCTGTTCGGTTGGAAGTTACAACATTTTTCTTTCTGTTCTCATTTATATTTCCATCCGATTCCTGAGTTGAATGTTGGATGTTAGTATATTGAGATGACCAGTAGTGGTCGATTGTATTTGGTTAACCGTTGACCGATGACAATGTCTTAACCTTTATCGGCTCTTGTACTCTTGTGTGACCAAAAGCTGTTCCATCTACTTAATCGCATATATTATGAATTGCCATATGTAGACTAATGGTTGACAACAAATCTTGTGTACAAATTTTACTTTAATGCATTTATTATTTTTTAGTTCTTGAACTGATCTACTGGAGAGACCCCAAGAAGAGCGCTGTAGCCTTGTCCCTTGTCCTTATCGCCATCTTCGTCCTCGGAAAGTAAGTTTTTATACACCCTTACCAATCAGGATATATAGTACGAGAAGTTTATTCATCTTTTTTCAGATATCCCATTCTCTCTGTTCTTTCCTACTCTGGATTGGCCATCCTTGCCGCCACCTTGGGATTCCGTGTATTCAAGGCTGTTGAAGCCCAGATCAAGAAAACTGGTGGAGAAAACCCCTTCCAGTACGTTTTCATACGCGAGAGCGATACTAAAATTTTAATTTCAGAGAGTATCTCGCCAAGGATCTCACCCTTCCCCAAGAACGCGTCCATGCCCAAGTTGATGTTCTCGTCGAGCACGGTTCTTGCTTGGCCAACCAACTCAAGAAGCTCGTATTTGTTGAAAACATTGTTGACAGCGTAAAGGTTAGTTAATATTTTTTTTCTTATCAGTTTTGTATCGAAAATATACGATCGAGCAAAATACGATTTTTTCAGTTCGGTCTCCTTCTTTGGTCTCTTACCTACGTTGCTTCATGGTTCTCCGGATTCGCCCTTATCGTTCTCTGTAAGATAACATGCTGAAGAAGCATAAGTTTAATTTTTTTTTACAGCTGTTCTCGGAGTTTTCTCTGTCCCAATCTTCTATGAGACTTACAAGGAGCCCATTGATGCACAACTTGCCGTGATCTCTGGACACATCAACAACGTCTCTCAATTGTAAGTTTTCGAGATGTGAGGGCATTGTTAAAAAATATCTTTCTTTTCAGATTGGAAGAGAAGCTTCCTTTCCTTAAGAAGGCTGAGGTTGCTGCTAAGAAGGATGAATGAATTAACCAATGTATCGTAGAACTTCCGCTATTTGCATTCATAAAAGTGTTCCGCTTTTCTTCTCCTGATATAGTCATTTGTTCTTATCGATTCTAGCTTAACAGTTCCGCCACAAGGTTTTAACTGCTATTTTTTTGTGCAGCTTTTTAAAGGGAAATCCTGACAGAATTCATATTATTTCTCGCATAACTCTCTTCTTGAACTGCAACAGTTGTACGGCAGAAACTGCCTAAGTCAGACTGCCACCTCCATATGACTTCGTTAACCATGTTTGTTCTGAAATTTTTTTATAATTTAACCCTACAAGACTTTTGTCGGAGTAACGAACTAACTGCCCCTACATATTATGTGTTTGCAATTGTTTTTTCGTATTCGCATATAAACTTTACGAAAATATGAAATGTGTGTCTATGTGTGTTCAAACAACAATCGAATCGACACCAAGGGTTCGGGGAAGACATTCGTAGTTGACCAATCAGTCCTTCCTTTTCTCTTAATAGTTCGCATTCGAGAGACTTGATGAAGTTTTCAGAAGGCTTATAGTTTTCCAATTGAATTCTAGAAGATATTATCTGGAGTTGTTAAGAATCTTCTCTCGCAACAACTACGTTGTCCTGTTCTTAACTCTAAGTGAATGGCGAACAAGGTCAGGGTAATGAAGAAGAAGACGGCGAAGAAGTTCTCCATCAATTTCGTAAGTTATCTGAAGTCTTTTGCCACCGAATATACAGCTGAAAGGCTCATTCATAGTTCAATTAGTTCTGTTTAGTAATTCGAACAGAGAGAGAGAAAGACGAAATGAGAGGGCAAAAACAACCAGCAAGCGAAAGGACATTCAAAGTTTGAGAATAACCAGTCCGGAAAGGTATTTAATCTTATAATATCTTCGAGTCATCTCCTAAGCAACCAGAAAACAAATGATATTGAGGAATACGTCATTGATTTCAAAGCGTACCTTTTATTTATTTTTCCACAATATCATCCATGCATTGTCTTGTCTCATGTTTTTAGACCAACTAATTATTATTATTAACTATATATGTATATACACTTCTTTCTCCTTCTTTTTTCGTCAAGCAATAGGATGTTTTCCACATTATTTTTTTTCTTTCGTTTCTTCCTTCTCTCTCTCTCTCTCATCTTCCTCAACACTACCTACCATCACTCCTGTTTAACTTTCACAGATCAAACTGAAGGGAAGTCTTTTTGATCAAAAGTACGCCATTAACTACTTAATTTTCCAAAATAACTATTTTTTTTAACAAAAGAACAGTTCGAATGCCATGACGCCATTGATTTTCATAACTTTTTCCTTGTTTTCCATAATATCCTCCTTTCTATTTCATCTTCATCTTCATGTGGAGCAAGAATCCTGTCTCTCTACTGTTGTGATAGTCTAAATTTCTATTTCAGATGACTTTTTTCATTAAATTCCGATTGAACAGAATTTACCTTCATGTAATCTTCAAAACATTACAATCTCTTCATCTGAAATGATTGACTACTTGTTTCAATCGAACTTCTCCGTGTTTTCTATTCTGTTTCATTCTGTTTCATCTATTTTGAGCAACTGAACGTTCAATTCTCAAGAACTATGCTCAGCTATTCGACATCAATCGTTATCAACAAAAAAAATGCTTTCTTTCATTTATCAACTTTCTAATAATCTTCATTTTGAAAAATTTTTCAGCTTATTTTACTATCCATTTCAGTTTTTTCGTGAATTTTGCGAGCTTTAGTGGCAAACGCTACAACATGGCTGCAATATCGGATTTGATGAGCAACATAACCAATTCCTCATTGGCTAAGCAGGTATTTGTACGCTACATTCCATCATTTCCACATGCTCACTACTCAGTCATCTTGAGGAAAAACTGTTTTTTTTTTGTAAAATAAGAGCTTCGTTAGTTATTTCCTTAAACTAACCTGTTTCTCAACTCGACTTGAAGTGAAAACAAGATGGGACTGATAAAAAGAATTTATGCTAATATACGTGAAAATTCCACGTATAATTCGCGTCGCATGGCAAAGTCAAATAAGTTTTCTTCTTTTGTGAACTATGAACGGTTGTTATGAGCTCTATTTTCATCTTTTCTTTCAATTTTTTTCTTCTTCTTCTCCAAAGTTTTCATCGCTAGTTACCCTTTCTCTGATGTCCAGTATGTAAAGAAACAGAGGAAGAATGAGAGAAAAAGTTCAGAAAGTTTTCTTTTATCTCTCAAGTAATCTTCTAAATTCTTTATTCTTTCCTAATTCATGGCTGAAGAACAATGTTTGACGTAAGACGGAGCACATTTTCTATTTAAATATATGTACATTCACTGATGCTCCAATAGAATAGATATCATCGTTCTTAAAGCTTCTGCCTGTAAGCATGGGCATCATTCTCATGAAGTTCCTGGTTCTCATAGATGCCTTCTTGTTCTTCTTGTTCTTCTTCTTTCTTTTTATTTCAATAAATCGTTTTCTCCTTATCACTTTACGTCTCTTAACTTTGTCACCATTGTTGGAGAAAAAACTGGATGAGGCACTTTGCTATTAATTATATTTAATTGTTAGTTGTTAGCAGTTGACCATACGTAAACTAACATTTGAATTAAATTTAATTAAAATCTAATGACTGTGTTTGGTGTTGTTAGTCAGCAGCAGGTACGCTCAGCCGAATAGATCTGTGAAGATAGAGCTGTTGTAAATATAATTACATTGACAGAGATTGAGTTAAATTGAGAGGTTAAAAGAAAGGGGAACAGAGAGAGTAAGATGAAGAGAGAGAGAGAGAGAGCAATGCAATTGAGATTAGAAGCATGAGGGGTTGCAGCTGAGGTACTGAGCTGATCATAATGGTTTCATTATCTAAAATTAATAATCTATTTATTGACGTAGATGTGGGAACTCGTTAATGAGAAGACAACAATTCTAAGAGATTTTTTCTATTCTTTACCTTCTCTAATGCTTTATAATCAATCCATTGCTCATCACCATGACAACTCTATAAGGATTATGAAACAGGCGGATTTCGTTTTGCATCTTTCTGTTCTATCTTCTCTTCCTTACATATTCTATTATTTCATTAATATATCTTCATCTACTAATTATTATGGTAGCGGAGGTAAATAACAATATGTTTCAAATGAGAGAGCGAAAGAAGAAGCAAAGCGCAATTCTGAGGGAGCGTGTGTATCAGGAAAACCAAATGCTGGAAACATGGACTATGTTCTTTTACAAATTAATATTTTTTTTATTATTCATAACATGGCCATGATTCTCTCTGTTTAAGAGTATTTTAGAGTATTTCCCATTGAACATGGACGGCAGAAATAAATATTTTGATCTTTGAGAATACAAATAACATACAAAGTGGAAGTTCAGTCGTATTATATTTCCATTAAGACAAGACACTAATGCGTTTCAAATGTATTGACTTGAATTCCTAATGAACGAAAAGCCATTTGATGAGATCAAAATGGTTTTTTTTCTATACAAAGTTTGGCTTGAAGCATTTTTTTATCTTCTTCTATTAAAAGCCTTTCTTTAATCTTTAAGAAGAACTGCAGATGAGAGAGTCAACGAAGTGATCAGTATGTACTCTGAGAGCCTGTTGATGATAGCAGAAAGAGAAGGAGGAAAAGAACGAAGAAGAAAATAGAAGAATCATTTGAACACAACTTTGCCTATAATCTTCGGATCACACAATATTGTTATCAGATAAGATCAGAAAATGAGAATTAAAATTTTGAAGAAAAATAAAAACATTATTTTGGTTGAAAATGAGGGAGGGAGGGAAACTATCAATTCAAACTTTTGATTTTGTGAGGTATGGCCAAGTTTATATAATCCATATCGCATTTCTTTTTTCTCTCTCTCTATCTTTCTCAATAGTTATAAATATGTTTTGTTGGAAAGAAGATCTCATCATGCATTTCGTAAAGGTTTCCAAGAGGAATCTATCTAGCGTAATCGAATCATTTACAGTGTTTTTTTGTTGCCTACTATCGTTCCTTATTTCATTTTTTTTGTAACTCAGACACTCTCTTATACTCTCTCTCTATCTATCTCTCTCTCTCTCTACGTCCATCTATAACTAAAATTTTCATTTTTAATATTAAAAAAATATATATAAAATATTTACGTAAACTTATGTTTTCATGTAATCATTCGGTAATACGTTTGCTGCTTCCCCATGGGGATGAATTGTTGATGACAATTCTTTACTAAGCTTTAAAAGAATAGAAAAAAAGAAACGTATACGACTAAAACTGACTTTAATCCTTCCGTTATAACGATACCTCTCTTCAATACGTGTGACGTGTAAATTTTGCGTGAACATGCTCCACGTCAATCTCACTTCCAACTTCATTCTTGTTCAGTGTTGGCGCTCAAAGCGGTTGCTAATTTCTCTTCGTTTTTTTTTTTGTCTGCCACAAGTCCACTTTGTTTTACTAGTTGTATGTCGTTATTTTCGTTTATCTCAACCATATGTATGTACGTGAACAAACACAAAAGTTTTATTAAAGAGAATTTTTCATTTTTTTTCTTCCCTTATATTACTTCTACCCTTTCATATGTAGAAGTGAGCTGATGAAGAACAAGTTGTTCTTATCCCTCGAGCAGAAGAATGGATGAAGAAGCGAATAATTTCAAGCTCTTTTTTTGTCACACAAAAGACATTTCCGACATTGGAAAAGGGGAAAAAACTTTTTGAACATCCAACGTAAAGCGAAACTGAACGCCGATCTCGAAAATATGCGGGGAACTCAATCGAAAATGATATGTTTTTTGGCTTGTGAATCGTTAGCCATATTCACAAATCCATTTTTTTCAACAGAAATTTGCTGTGAATGAGAGACGTTTTGAAGAGTAATTAAAGAATTCTATGGAGTTCCTTATGAATGAGAAAGAGATAGAGAGAGAGAGAGAGGGGGGGGGGGAGAGGAGGAGAGTTTAAGATGAGTGATGTTTCATGAAGATACACTCTAAGTTTATTTTAATTTTAATAAAGAATCTTCATTTTTCCAAATGAAATGTGTGTGGATATATGAATTGAGAATGAAATGTTACGCACATTGTGGAGAGTTTGTGATAGAAATGAGAAAACAAATCTCCGTCCAGCATTAATAGGAGATGACTGAATTTCCGCTTGATTGCAGAGGTCCACAACCTTTTTTTTTATTTCCACAGAAAAAAAATACATATATGTATATTCTCTCTTTATGCTTGAACGAATGGTTTTATTCGAATGAAACATCACATTGGCTTCCAAATAAAGGAATCATATTGTCGCTTTGCAGTGTTTTCTTTTTTGATTCTTTTCTTTCTGTTAGCTGTGTATTGCTCTCATTTCTCTCTATAGCCTAGTTTCACGTGCGCTAAGTGGCGAAGCTGTTTTCTTCGTTGTTAAGAGAACTGTTAAGCAATATCAGAATTGAGTAAATTATCTTCTTCACTCCTCCCTCCTCCCAGTTTTTCGTTTTCTTTTCGACAATAACACTGTTTCGGTAGCAGAGCAACAGCGTTGAAGTGCTTATTGTCAGGGGCCACATGTGTTGGATACATTTTTCTCATTTAGTTGTCGACTTGTCAATCTCTTTCGAAAGTATTAACCTTACTTTTCGACATATTTGGAACTTTTTTTTCTCATCCCATAAACTCTTTGTCTAATATCGGAATAATATTAAATTTTCTCAGCTTCTCTGGCTCTCTTTCGTCGATCTTCACCTAGTTCCGGCTCATCTAAGAAAAATTTTTTCGGAACTTCTCCTCTATTTATCCTAAATTAGTGATGCTTAGCTACTTTGAAATTCTTTATCTCACGCATCCTTTAGCCTTTCTCTCTCTCTCTCTTCCTATCTCTCTAACTCTTCCTCTCTCTATATTCTTGTGTCCCTTTCTGGCCAGCTTCATGAACATTTCATGTAGCGATGTTTCATGTGACCCAGCCTCACACAAATTCAATCTCTCTCAGCATTTTTTTCCTCTTTGAAATAAAGTACGTCATCTCGCAATGTATGAAAGAAAATTTATCCATTCATAAACTTATTAGATTGCTTCTAAGAAGTAGAAATGTTATCATTCGCTTCATTCCGAAAGCTATTTTGCATAAAATTCAACATCCTGTTCTTTATATGCTTTTAGTCGTTCGACACGAAAATACGTTTCTCCTCCAACTCAGAAACTGTTCGGTTTTCATCTTTCCGCCTACATCTCTTGTTGGCAAGAAAAAAAACTTTCAAAAAAAAAATAAGAAAACGTTTGAAGAGAATGGCTTTCCGGGAAGTATTAAGCAAGCTCCATCTTTTATCTCCAATGCTTAATTTGGTATTGTGAAGACGATAAGCAATGAAGCGTTAAACATGTGGTGAAAGAAGAAGAAATAAAAATAAGTGCTTAATTCATCTCATTTACTATGTCCGTAGATGGTTCTCTCTAGCTTTTAGTCAACTTTTTTCTTTGTCCCAATACCGAAACGATGGCAAAAGTAAAAGAAATAGTGAAAAAGAGAATGTGGAAAAGAGAAAATGGTGATTGAGGATGAAGGTGAGTTGAAAAAAGGTTTGAACAGAGAGAAAGGATAGAATGTATGTGTGTTTATAAAATAAAGAGAGCAAGAGTGGAAGATAGAGAGAAAAATGGATGGAGAAAGAGAGAGAAAGAGAGAGACAGAGACCGAGAGAAAGACAGAGAGAAAGAGAGTGAAAATGTACTTCATTAGTTTCTTATGGCAACTTATCCAAACTTTGACTTATTATTGTTGTTAAGAGGTATGACAGAGGAATCGTCCTATTTCGGAAGCCGAATGCATTTTTTGATTTTTCTCGATTTTCCCGTATATGAAGCAAGACATAATGCTCATTCAAACAACTTTTTGTGTGAAAAATAGTTTGGATTTTGAAACTTTTTTTTTTCTTCTCTCTTATTCATCTGTAATAACAATTTCAATTTTTTCCATGAATTATTCAGTAATGTACACAGTTTGTGAAGAAGAACCAAAATTTTATTTTTAGCTGATAGATGAGGGCTATAAGAAAATATTTTTTTATTTTATCATCAATTCCACAATTGTTGTGCCGGAGGTTATGAAATTTGCGAAGATCTCCTTCTTCATCGTTAGTCCTGCTTCACTTTAGTCTCTCCTACACTCTGTTAGAAAGGAAGAGAGAGAGAGAGAGAGAGAGAGAGAGAGAGAGAGAGAGAGAGAGAGAGAGAGAGTGAGAAGAAAAAGAAAGAGAGGGTGGAGGGGGAGGTAAGAATTAACTAGCATGCCTTGTGATAGAGAATCTATGTGAACGTCTTTACCTTCTCTCCGTCATATTCATCAGTTTTCAGCCTATTTTGTCGCTTTCATATTAAAGCAATTGAGTCATGCGGGAAATTCGTGACTGTCTCAATACGCCCGGAAAAAAATTTTAAATTCTTGGAGAAGAACAAAAAAAACTTTTTATTTATTCTCCTGATTTTGCCATTTGTTTTCTAAATTGCTTTGGCATGCTATTCAGCAGCTCATAACCTCACTCGGATTATTTTACAAAGCCATTAATAGGAATTTAAGTCTTTAACTATGTTTTTTTTATTCTCCCTCTCTCTCTCTCTCTGGCTATCATCCTCTTTGGACTTCTCTCAATAGATATCAATTCCTCACTCTCTCTTTAATAAGAAGTAATGAAATCGAATCTACCGCAGCTGGTTCAGCATCTGTTAAATAAAGTTATTTGCTATTCAACTTCTTTTTTTTTCTTCCACAAAATGTTTTTTTTTCCTCATTCATTGTGAAAACAAAAACTTTTTATTTCGCTTTTGCTACTCACATAACGTTTTAAGCGGACAACTCAACATTGGAGAGAAAGGGGGGGGGGTAAGTGGAAGGGTAGATTAGCATAATGATTGAAAAGCGCGGTAGATACGTGAAAATCACGTGAAAATCTTTGTCATTTTATTTAAATGAGTGACAGCGAACGGTTGTTTCTGGAATGTTTTTCTTTGAATTATTGAAATGAACATTATTCGGGCATTCGAAGGTCAACACAGAGAAATCAGTTATGTTCATCAATCAACTCAAAAATTTTCTTTTTTTTATTGTATGTATGTTTGTTTGCTACTTCGACACTGAATGAAATCAGTATGACCTTTTTTGTGTCAAAATTTCGGAAGCGAAAGGGTAAAACGAGAAAAAAAAAAGGAGAGAAGAAGAGTATTGTTATGAATTCTGTTGTCGTACCTCTTATCCGCTCTCTCCCACTCATTCTCTCTCTATTATTAAGAAATAGAAGAGAAGTGCGGACTGTAATTTATATAATAGATGATGATTTATCTTCAATATAGATAAAAAAATAATATTTATATGAATTTTGTTTTTTTCAGATGAAAATGAACCGAGATTCCTTAGATATCAGCGACTTCAGCTTCGATTTAGAAGAAGATGATCGAAATCAAAGTCTCATATCAGCTATATATCGTAGTATACAAGATGGAAAGTATGTTTATTGCTCTTTTTATGTATCAGCAACTCATCATGCTACTTTAGTTTCATGGGATTGGTTGTGTTGACGGTTATTATATCAGTTATTGTACTTGTGATTGTAATATGTTATTTAATGATGCGTTTCATGCATCGAGCTCTAAGCGGTGGAGAATCGAAAGGACCATATTGTAAGTTTTCATTTCCTTGCAATGATTTATTACGTCGATGTTTTCTCATCGGCATGTCTTTGCTCACACCCACCTGAACTGAAAATTAGTTTTTTTTAATTTCAGCGTCCCCCTACGCAAATATGGTTATTCATTCGAAGAGGGTTTATGAGATACAAGCTGAAGAAGGCTGTTTTGCTGGCCCTGAATCAGAGCCCACTGACTCGAAAGAGCCATCGGCAACGATAGTTGAGCCAGAAGAGGAGAAATCTCCACGAGCTTCATTACGAAGACCTGAAACTGGGGATCTTCGACAGATTCGAGCAGAATCACCGCCTATTGATGATCCCCGACAAATGATACGCAAAAAAGACAAAAAGGTTTGTTCATCTTCAACTACTTTCACTAAGTAGCCAAGAAGATTTGCTTGTGTAAACAGTATAAATTCATTTTTAAGATTCACAAAGATTCTGTGTGTGGTTTAATGTTCCGACAGCAGCATCAAAGCTTGCCGAATATGGTCTAAGCCTAAAACATTTTTTTCTTTTTTTCTCTTCCAATGAAAATACAATACTACGCTCTGCGTCTTTCCTCATCATTCTATTCTCATTTTTTTTGACATTTTCTGATAATAAGAAAGAAAATCAAAGATATAGTTAACGATTGGCTACTGTTACGGATATTTCATGTTATATTGATACATATATTTAATAAAATACTTGATTCAAGTTTCGCAGTTCCGAAGTGATTATCTTGATGTCAAAGTGATGATTATGATCATTTTGAAACGTACTAGAGTTGGGAAACAGAAATTTAGAAAAACATGATAGTGCGAAGTGGTGTGAGAATTCTTATCTGAAGGAAATCAGGAAGTAAATGAAACATATCAAATACGTCTAGTGAAAGATGCAAGTACTTATCTGCTAACTCGCAGTTTGCTTGTGACAAGATATGTAAGAAATACTTTCATGTAATTTGTTGTAAAAACCTGTTAAGGAAGTAACATGAGATAAGATGTATGAACGGAAATTAGCATAATCTTTGAAATCCTCAAGTTTGATAGAATATGGTTAAAGTACAATTAATAAGAATGTTGCTGTAATTGACTTTTACTTATACGAGACGATAAATGTGTGGTTGGCAGAGAAATCGGAAATTATATTGGAAAAGTATGAAAACAACATTCGATTTGAAATTTTACTTCATGCTCAGGCCCTCTTGACTTACTTAGAAGCTTATTTTACCTTTTTGCAGACATGACATTGAATCAAACATCTTGTTGAAGCTGCAAGAGATCTGGAATCCGTTTCACATTACTTGCATATGAGTGATCAGGAAAAGGCGATGACTTCCATGTTTGGCATGTTTTCTTTTCATACGAATTCATTATCTAGAATCTTCAACAGTTGTTGCATAAAACTTTTTTATTAATCGGAATTTCAAATACTCGTTTGACTGTGACTAATGCTTCAGATATAAGCAAAAGCTCTCTATAGTATACTATATATTATATATACAATTTGATTATGATATTAACATTATGAGAACATGACAAACTGAGATTTTAAAATAGGTAGGCTTAACCCTTAAGTTTTATAAAAAATATGAAATTTTTCAGCTTTTTTATAGCATATAGCTCTTCTTCTATATGCTGACAGTGTAATTTTTAGAGAAGGTACGTCTACGACTTCACTTTGATTCTGATTTTGCTCTCAGAAATATCCGGCACACAATTCTGTTGAATATTTCCATAATCGCTCTTGCAAACGCTCATCTGTTGCTTCCGAACCTGATCTAAAACCAATATCCATCATAAGAGCTTTCAGTTGTTTCAATGCTTTCTACCGTAATTGTTTTCCATTCACATCCATATATTTTCCTGACATCTTCAGGAATGTATCATTTTCCAGAAGTTGCACCAAATTGCTTGAAGTACGACACATTGATAATGTAGACATTGATGATGATAAAGTTGTCGCAGTACTTCGTCTAAATAACATGGAAAGGTTAACAGAATGAAATGAGAAATTACATTTTGCCATTATTATTTGGCTCTTTCTCCTTTCCAACTTCGATTACGTTTATCGATACGTCACGCTTTGATAGAACCATTCTTCTGAAATACGTATGAGGTTTTACATTCCCACGGACAATTGCAATTAACATATTCACATAAGTGAGTATGACGTGATCGCACAACTCATCATGAGTTAACATTTCATTTCATTATTATCGTGCGCTGTGATCGGTTGTGCTCGGGTGTGTCGAAAGATCAGTTATGTTTTCGATTGTTATCAACTTTTTCGTAATTTGAGAAAGACAGTCGAACCTGTGCAAAGCAAATGCCATCAGATGACACATCAATTTTGTTCTTGAGAACTGCAAGTACTTCTCATATTCTTTGGTAGCCATCATATCCTGCCAATCCAGGGCTGTCCTGAAAGTAATTTGTTGAAAGATCTTCAGCTTATGCATTGTTTTCATTGGAACATTCGTTTCTGAATTCGAACTCAATTGGCTCATCTCTTTTCCTTATTTCAGCGAAAGTCATGACAAAAGGATATCAAGAATAGAATTCATCATTCTCCTTCAAATTCTCCTTTTTTCTTTCAGCTGCTAGTTTTATGCACATGTTAGAATATAAACATGGTGAATGAGGAAAGAGAATGTGTCCGAATTCCCTATTGAGTTCAAGATTGACGTGGCTAAAGAAACAGATGACGCCGCAGTTTTGGAAAACCGGAAAGAGAGAAAGAAAGATTTGCAATAACCATCTATATTCTCAGCTGATATGCTCTTCCACTCACACTTGCACGAACATTCTGACAATCAACAGATTCAAAAATCACAATCAAAACAAAGCAAATGAAAACTGACAGCGTTTGAGCAGTACATTCGATTGACGATTCAGATAGATAAATATGAAGAAGAAACGTACCATCCGTGTAACATACTACCAATCATATAAATTCGTGCATTCTTATTCTTAGCCAATGTATCAATAAGTCTGTTGCACAGCAAGAAATGTGCCAAGTAGTTAATCTGAAACATAATCAAAGTTGGTTGAAGGTTCAAACAGCTTAGTCCGTTTCACATCTATTCGTTTACATTTTTCAAACAAAAGTTCATTTTTGGGCAAAAAATATTGTAAATTCTCTGATGATTTAAAAGAAACATTTTGTTTATTTTCATTGAGTTCTCATGCTTCGGAAATGTTTCTCATGTTTTGTGCACTAAACTGCTCTCTTAAATTCTTGTTATAAACATTCAACTTGCACATACACACTATTAAAAACATTCGTTAGACAGTTTTGTTAAGAAAAGCGTTTCTTCAAAAACATTTTTCAGCTTCTGCTTCTTCTTCTTCTTCTTCTTCTTATTCCTTCTTTTTTTTTCTTAAAAAAATAGTGTTTCAATTGACAAGATTGACAAAATGCTTGGGCATAATCCCCTCTAGGGCTAACCATGGCGAATGGTGAGGCATCAGGTTTTTCTTATTTTCTTTCAAAATAAAATTTTCGCATGCAAAAAAGGAGAATCAGGAAAAACGTTGACAAAGTTGTGAACAACTGATTGTGTCTCACACAAATACAATTGAAGAAGAGGAAACGAATTGTCGAATATTCACCTGAATTGTTTCTTCGTGGCCGTCTTTAGTTTCCATCCGTCGAGTATTAAGTACGGAAGCATTACAGAGGATTATATTCAGATCAGGAAACTTTGTCTCAATTTCTTTGGCCATCTCATTTATCTGTGGAAGAAAATTTATGTTTGACAGAAAAGTTTTTTGAACCAACTTGTTTAAGACCGCTGAAGTCAGCCACAACATATTCGATATTATTTGGATTATTTGTCTCTTTGATTATATAATCTCGGGTTGCCTGAAATTAGAAGAGAAGGGATGATGGCTCCATGAGGAAGAGATGAAGTTTTTTTTCCCTGAGAAGACAAAAAATGCAAACGTTTGCAAGTGAAATGAGCAAAAGGAAAAGCTTAGGACTTTTCTTTGAATTTACTCAGCCGAAATTCTTACTGCGCTATTGAATTATTTTCTTTTGAAGGTATATTGAAAGTCAAATGAAAAAAAATCGAACGAACTTCACATTTCTCCTCCGTATATCCATGAATGATTACAAAGTTTGATGGATGAGAAGCCAAATCACATGCAGTTTGCTTGCCAAAACCGTCTGTGGCTCCAGTAATTAAGATGGTTCGTTCAAACTGAGGCTTTTCCGGCATAACTAAAAAACCGAAATATAGAGGTAAGTCATTGACATCCATTAAGCGTATGTGACGTAATAGAGAAAGTATTAATCAAAATAATATATGGAAACTATGTGAAGACGAAAAATCACCAAAGAGATAAATTTCTTACTCAAAACAACTATATGTATTCAGGGTGATTTTGTTGCCACTCAGGCTCATGGCCATAAAAAGACTCAAATATGCAATTAATCCGACATTCGAGCATCAAGAAAGAAAAAAAACCAAAACTTCAGTTGTGAATGTGTGAAAGAGGACAAGAAAAAAGAATTGAAAATACTATTCAACGTGCATCTGAAGAACGTTATGATTATGATACATTGTTTTATAAGTTTCAAGAGAAGTCTGTCGTTTTCCATTCAAACAGAAAAATAAAGAGAAAGGGCATTCATGAGGATGGCAGAAGTAAGCCGATCGAAAGTCAAACATGGAACGATAGCTTTCAGAAAGAAATAAAAGAATAAACAAAAAAAAAGAAAAAAACCGAATAAGAAAGGCTGCCGTTGAATAATAGCAGAAATTAAATGTTTAGATGTCTGAAGCATAACCATTAAGGGGATTGGTTTGATTGTTGAAACATCAAAAAACTAAATGAAAACGAGGGCTTTTCGAAATGAGTTTAACAGCCATTTACAGATGATATCCATAAATACATTGCTCGAGAGGCCAAGAGAGAGAGAGAGAATGAAAGGGAGTATGAGTGAAGTAACTATATTTAGTAGTTGTATGATGAAAAGAAAAAGAAAAAGTCCATCATTGAACAAGCTGTTCTCTATTTTCTTTTCTTCTGTCTCTCATTTTCTCATATGTCCACTTGTTTCCCACAGACACTATGCCATACATACATATATTTGTATATAGCATAAATGGTCATGGAGGATTATTCTCCAAGAATATTTTTTTTCTTTCCAATCAATTACACGCAGAAAATGAAAAACAAAAAAAAATAATGAAAAAGATGAATAAAACGCGGAAGCAAACGAAACGAAAGAATCAACCGTTCAACATATCTGCAGATACAAGAAATGATTTTGCTTTCGTTTATTTGAATATCATTAAATGAATTAGAATGAAGTAGATTTGAATATAAAGTTCTCTCTTAACTTGCTGAAAACAAAGCAAAGACAGCCAACAATGATAAAACAGCGACCAAAGAAGTTGGTAGGGATAGATGGAGGGAAGAAGTCCCGCCTCATCTCTAACAACTATGTACATGATGCTCTTGCTCCAGAAAATGGGTAGAACCATATTTGTGAGTTTGGTTGAGCTGAGAAACAGACAACAAGCTGTGAATCAACTTCAATAGGAACCCTTGAAATAATTTTTTTCTTCTAATATTGTTTTCAGACCAGCTTTGAATGAAATAGAAAAGAGGTTAGTCGGACGGCAGACCCACATATGAAATCCCAGGAAACAGTCTTCTGTAATGAGATTTGTTCGAAGCGAGCAAAAAACGAATATGAATAATAAGAGATTTCCAAGAAGATGTAAATATATGAACGATTTTCATAATGTATTAAATATGTTCGATGGAAATATATTTCTGAACTGTTCGAGTATGGGAATCATTCTGATTTTATAATTTGGAATAAGTATTGCAATGGGGTTTTAGCATAAAACTCTTGTCTCAATCATAAAATGAACAAGATGATTGGGAACAAAGACTGTTTCTGATATATGCATGGAATTCTTGAAAAGTTGAATGAGAAGAAAATTCGATGATAGTTCTCCATTCATAAAGTAGAAATATTCTAACATAGGTGCTGACTTCCGTCAAGCTTAAGAAGTGTAAGAGTCAGACTTGTGGCAAAAAGGAAATAAGTAGAAACTGCGTGCGCTTGCAAAATTGGCAGAGACATGAAATGTTGTGACTTACAAAATGAACAAAGCGGTGCTCTTTGAAAAGTTCTTTTAACTGGTTTTATTCGATGAATTCTCCTACGGCTGTTTAACTTATTTCTTCCGCTTTTGATTCAGCCCTAAGTCTGATTTTCTTCTTCTTAGGTCTTTCCAAGTTTTAAATGATCATCTCATTTTCTTCAAACTCATCAGCTTTCGGCTCTCCAGAAAACAACATGTTTCTACAAACTACGGAAATGGTGCCATTAAACGATTGCTAAGAAATAAGGAAAAGCCTCGAAAACAATCCATTTCTTAGTGGTGATCTCTTGTTGTGTCATCGTTATGGCTGAAATTTGATCAAGGTTTAAGCTGGCAGAGCAAAAAACACTGCTAATTATGGGAAAATTAAAGAATCTGCTGAAGGTGCTAATACCCGTACTTGGAAGCATTTGGTTCGGTAATGGAACGGCAAGCGGCACTTGTCATTCCATGACAGATTCGCAGGCAAAAGGTTCTTTGGTTTATAAACAAAAAGGGAACGTTTGAAATGATGGATTGTCGGAAGATTTATTCTTTTTTTCATCTTTTGGTTGTTTTGAATACCTAAAAAGAGAACGAGAATCTTTAGTCGAATCATTTTCAACTTAAAAACATCTCAATAAAGATCAAACGCTGGGAAACTGAGAGTTTGGAATGCAGACGTTCTTGAAACTTCTAAGATTCTGCTCTGCTGAAATCTGGGGCTGATTCTACTGATATGGAAGACAAACTTGTCTCATCATAAACATGAGCTAAATGAATATAGTTCTATTCAAGAGGGCAAAGAGCATGTTTTGAGATACAAACAAAAGTTGTTTTGACATTCTGTCAATGTAGATATTTAGATGAGGATGACCATCCTCTTCAGATAGAACATCTACATTTTTGGAAAGAGAGAGAGCAATAGAGGACTGAAGAGAAAAAAAGAAATAGAAAGAGTGGAAGAGAGAGGGGGTAAGGAGATTGGAGAAAATTAACAAAAACGAAGGAACTTTGAAATTAAGAAAGACTATTATTTCTATAAATTGCTGGACACAATGAGAAGTTTCATTATATTCAGAGAAACAAACATGCTGGCTTGTGTGCTATAAATTACTTTGCAATCGAATGAAAGCCTAGTTCTTAAAGTAATTAAAATTATTTTCAACAGATTTCATCTTCAGCCCCTTATAAGGAAGCAAACATGCGAGAGAAGATATTTTAAGCAAAGGACTTTTACCCACCTTTTCTTCAAATTGAAAGAGAGAAAGGTTAGGTCAATTGTGGAAACACTCCCAGTGGAGCTTCACCAGCAGAATGAGGAAAGTGGTTCGCTTAGCTTGATTGAAAGCACATAAAAAGGAAAGCCGAAATGGACAGAAGAGTAGTATAGGATGGAACAGAGAGTTAAAGAAACCACAAAAGGGTAGATTGAGAGGTACGAGAATGAAAGAAATGAAAAATTGGAGAGAGAAACGAAGAGAAAGAGGACATCGTAACTAAAAAATAAAAATGAAAAATGAGAAAGCTATCGAAATGAGTTGGAAATTGTCATTATCGATGATAATATTCAACAGCTGATATTGAGACCGTCTGAACATCCAAAACTGAAATCTGTTGATAAAGTGATGATCTCCAGCTTCAATAACACATTCGACTTAGGAAGTGGTGCTGACATCCTAAGAATCCTCGTATACATAAAAAGAAAAGGAATCAGTTTACAAAGAAGAAGGAAGTATTCCTTTAGAGACATTGTTAAAAAAATTTTCTTAAACAAAATTTTCAAGTAAAATGAAAGCAGAAATTCATGAGCTAAGTGACAATCTAGATAAACATTGAAAAGAACAAAAACATCTCATTGTTTTCCGTGAAGATGGGTCATTGAACTGGGATCAGCTGCAGTATGTTTCAGCGAAAACATGCTCACATTTGGAAAATTTGATTTCAGCTACAGATGGTTTTCAGCTCTAGATTCAATAACATTCTAAAATAAGAAATTCTACTTGAAATAGAAAATGAAAAGCGTTGAAACTAAAGAAAGCTTGAAAAATTGGCCGATCTTCTTGTGACATTTGAAATGCGAAACGCCTTCTCAAACAGCAGTTGAGGGTGGCGCAATCAAAGGAAATGATGTAAATTTGAAGGAAATGATGAATGGAAGACGCATATAGTTGTCTTGAGAAGATATCCCGCTAAACGGATGAACATTTTTGTGTAAAATGTAAGTGAAGCTTGAGGTTAACGCTGCTTGTGTGATGACGTCTGCACTCAGATGGGATGGCCACGTTTCACGTGAGGAGGCTCATTTTCATCCCAGAACGTGGCGTTGAGCGGTTGCATTCCGGATATTTCTCCAACCTCCACAACTTCACAATGTGCATTTCGTTCGCGAAAAAACCGAAGAAAACTTCCAATGAAATTTATTTCAAATATAATTTTTTTCGCAAGCTTTCATATTACATGGGAATGATAATGGAAAACCAAAGCATACATCTTCATAAGAGCACATTGAAAATTGCTTGAGTGATAAACAAAACAATGAAGAATTATTTTGGATTATCATGACTGACACAAGTTTGTTTCCCATCTAATGAAATTAAGGGAAAGAATGTTTTCTTGAATTTAATTAAGAGAAAAAACTCATTTCAACTCTATCGCGAAATTCATTAACCAAAGAAATTAAGATGAATAATAAAACGATTAAATTATCAGAACTGACATATCTCTTAATTTATTGTTTCTCGAAAGGTTGAATGCTCCTTGCATTGATTCTAACAACTTCAGCTCTTTGTTGTAGCCTTAATGTTCGTGACAGAGATTAAATTGGAGATCTGCAATAAACGCGCTCCATTGCGAATGCCTAGCGTAAATAAGTCTCGGAACGATAGATTCTACGGGCGGTCAAGGAAGATAATGTCTATGTGTTAGAATGAATATTTCTTTTTAATTTTTTGAATTTGTTTTGACTTTCATGTAAAAAAGGCAAGTGGATACAAATAGTAAGCTAGCTTAATTATCCAAGTGTTGAATTGTGTTGAATTTCGTTGAGTTTAGGGCTGTAAAAGTCCTTTTGAGCTTCATAGGGAGGTGACCGTTCTTACAATTTATCATATTTCAGCCATGTCACAGGCTGTAAAGAGGGTAGCTACTTCCAGCGTCAACTTCGCCAAGCTTGGTAAGACTTTTTGTACGTAATGTGAATCAGATACTTGTTTTTCCAGGCGAAAAGCTCATCGGTGAGCAAGCTGCTGAGCTTGTCCGTGTTAAGGGACAAAGCGGAACTTTCACTGCTATCATCAACCAACATCCAAGTGACCTCCCCAAGGTGATTTCTGTTTTTAGTACTCTTCAAATAAGTTGTTCGTTCAGGTTGATTTTGCTGCTTTGAAGAAGGCTATGCCATCTCACGCTGCTGTTCTTGATTCTCTCCAGAAGCAATACGAGTCTATCAAGGTTCCTTATGGTGAGGTCCCAGCTGAATACCTCAAGGTATATTTATATTTTCTTGCTATTTCAATTTATGTTATCTCCCAAATTTTTTTAGGAGGTTGATCAATGGAACCAATTCCACAACGCCAGAACTCAGCTTCATGAAGTGAAAGTTCAAGACGGACTTGAGCAAGCCAAGAAGGTAATTTCAAGTTTCGCAACGTTTTTTATGTTTGATTCTAGGTCGAACAGAAGTGGGCTCAGGCTCCACCAGTCGAGCATTTCGATCGTCAACACTTCGTTGAGTACTTCCCTCAACACTTCTATGATCTTCGTTACCAAAACAGGTAAGATATTGTAAAGTAATGGTTTTAATCCTAGTTTTTAAAGAATCCCTGATCCATGTGAAATTGGACTCAATGAAACACCAGAGATTGAGGCTAGATTCAAGGACTACAAGGTAACTTGAATGTTAAAAAAAATATTACAAACTGACTTACTTTCAGGTTCTTCGACGTGCTGACAAGGTTGACGATCACTAGATTCATTCTGTTTTTTCCAAGTCGCCTTGTAGTTGGATTTTTAGTAATATAGATTGTTTTGCGACATATGTGATCAATAAAGAGATGCTGTAAAACTCGTTTGTTTATTATCTTCTGCGGTTTCGCTAGTATGCCTTGCTCTACCTCTTTTGCCTTCTGAGGATCTAGCTTTTGCGTGGAAAGAGAGTTGGTAATTAGCGAGACTGTACTCTCGTTTGTATGTATTGTGCTGATGTTCTCTCGAAAACAAGATAACGTGTTTACCGAACAGTTTACGTTGATTTTTTTCTCTATATCTTCTAAACAATTCCATTTGAGTTTTCAGAGAGATGACCGACTCGCCTGGGAGAACACTCAGACGACGTCATCCTTCTCGCGATTCTAAATTGAGCCAGAGTAGCACTTCTACCTGTAGCAATTCCACCAAATTTTCCTTCGCTCGTAAAAGAGAAGAAGAGAATCGCAAAGGGTTTGTTTTCATCATACTTTTAATCGATTATTTAGTTCCGTTATAGTCCTGCGGAAAAATCTGTCCACCACCCTCAAGACTCACTGTTCAGTACAAGCTCGGGATGGACGAACTATCGTGGTTTCTTCAACTTGGCTATGCTTCTTTTGGTTTTCATGTTATCAGAGAACTGTATAAACCTTTTCTCGTCTTCAGATAGTTTCAAACGGCCGTGTTGCTCTTGAAAATCTTATTAAGTATGGTATTTTAATCTCTCCCAATCAGTTAGTATCCATGTTCGTGCATGGGGGCTCTCTATGGCATTGGCCGAATCTAGCTCTTATCACTCTGTCCAACATAACGATTTTAGTTATATTTTTCACTGAGAAGCTTCTAGGTACGAGAATATAACTAAAGACTTACAAAGATTAAGAATCTTCCAGAGAGAGGTCATCTAGGTAACTATTTTGCTGGAGTGTTCTATCCCATTATCATATGCTCACATCTCATCATACCTGCTGCTGTAACTTTGAATGTTAGAGTACGTAATCTTTTTTGTTTTTTGGTCATTCTGAATTCCACAGGGCAATCCCTTATTCGCTGTAGTTGCTTTGGGAATTTACGTTATTGAAGCTCTCAAACTAGTCTCATACGTACATGTCAACTATTGGTGTCGTTGCGCTAGGAGAGAGAAAAAATCTGAGGAGGAACTACCTGAAGAGCTGAAGCATGAAGTTTCTTTTGCATTTTAATTCAGTTTCAAGATGTATCATAGGCTTCGTTCTTTGAAAACGCTTCGCTCTACCCAGGAACTCTAACTTTATCAAATCTCTACTATTTCATCGTAGCCCCAACATTATGCTATGAGCTTAAATTTCCTAGATCAGCTCGTAGAAGAAAGAGTTTCCTCATCAAAAGAACGGTTGAGGTGATTATATTATTTTTTTTCTTGAAACTTCTTGATCTTCAGTTGGTCTTCCTCTCTTTCCTTATGGTAGCTCTTGTTCAACAATGGGTTGTTCCTACAGTCCGCAACAGTATGGGTCCTTTGAGTGAAATGGAACTGGGAAAGTAATAATCCTAAAGGAGAAGCTATATACAAGTTGTTATATTTAGGTGCTTGGAACGATTATTGAAGCTAGCTATCCCTAACATTTTCATTTGGCTCATATTCTTCTATACATTGTTCCATTCAGCTCTTAACCTGATTGCAGAAATTCTTCGTTTTGCTGACCGGGAGTTCTACAGGTGTGTTGTAAGCCGAAACACCTGCTCAGGAAGTGCTTATAGAGATTTCTGGAACGCTGAGACAATCCAATACTTCTGGAAAACATGGAACATCCCAGTGCACAGATGGGCTCTTCGCCATATTTATTGCCCTATGATGCGGAACAAATATAGGTAATCGTATCCGTTTTGTTTACTTTTTGTTTAAAATTATTTTGTTCAGTAAGATGAGTGCTATGGCTGTAGTTTTCTTTGTTTCCGCCTTTTTCCATGAATATTTGGTTTGCCGATTCATTCGAAAATTAATTTGAATCTAATTATAGGTTTCCGTTCCCTTGGCAATGTTCCGCCTCTGGGCTTATTATGGAATGATGGGGCAGATACCTCTATCTTTCATCACTGACTATGTGGTCAAAGGAGGCAGAGCTGGTTTAACAATTCATTATTTCTTTTCTGAAAGTTTAATCATTTGAAGGGAATATTGTCGTCTGGCTCTCATTGATCGTTGGGCAGCCTTTGGCCATCCTTATGTATGTCCATGATTGGTATATTTTGCATTAATCACCATGCCTTGAACTACACCAGAGAAAACGCGACACGCATTTTCAGGTTTATGGAAACAAATTCAGTTTTATTACAGAAATTATATTATTTTTTTGGTCAGAACAATCAAAACTTTCTCAGAACCCTTGAGATTCTATATGATTCTAGTATCGCTCTTAATACCGGTTAATCACTACGCGTCCTTTTTATATCTTGCCAAAATTCATATGTGCCTACTTTTATTTTACATTTCAAAGATTCTAAATATATTTATAATAAATATTTTATGAATTCCATGTTCTCCTATAGTATACAATGGATCGCCTAACGATATTTCCTTGAATGAAAATGTATTGCAGATTCATTGTAACCGCATTGAATATTAAGCTTCCGTTATGATTTCCATCTATCCCATGACGTTCGAAAACAAACCTTATTTTATATACTGGTTAGCCGAATCTGAGCATTTAGGTTTGATAAGGAAAACAACAATTCAATAAACATTCGCTTGCAGGCATAACTGACGGTGGAAGCGTCTTGTATCAAGAAAAGCTTAATCGCAATCGTCGAACTGAATTTTTGAAGCAGGAAATAGATGATGAGCTATGGGAGTGAGTATCTTATCCTATCTTTTAAGCGAAGAAAAAATAGAGATATTAACTTTTATCGGTTTGTTTATTTTGGGAACGAATACCCACTAATTGCAACCGGTTCCGCGCGCTTTGATTGTTTAAATGAAACCTCCAGGGTATTTCCTTTCATGTTTAAACATTACAGTTTTTCAGAAAAATAATAGAAAAAGAATTGAACTTGAAGCAACTCTCTGATACCCATGTGACGATCTCTAGGTTTCGTTACTAGTTTTCCTTAAATGGCTACTCCGTGGTTTTCAGAGGGACTCGATCGATTGAGTTGAAAGCCGAAAAGGATTTCGGCAAAGTACTAATGAGAGTCATGGGCAAACTTGTGAATGTGTATAACGTTAGTATTCGAACGAAAAATTCCTGATATCAATGGTGTTTCTTTCAGAAAACTAAGATCTCAGCTTCTCCAAATAAGGAGGATATCCCGAAACCAAAAGCATCTCCAATCAAGGTACAACCTATTGATTATCTCTCAATCATCTTGAGCCTTACAGAAAACCAACTTTGCTATTCCATTAAAGAAAAGAATTCTCGAATATCGGGATGAGATCATTGATTAATATTCATACTAACCTCTTCGTATCTTGCTATATATTCCTGTGAATGCGTTCTAGTTTTCATCCTTTTTATGTTTTATACAGTTTTAATATAAATATTTGAAATAACATAAGTAACCCGTACGTTTGTAGATGGGAGAATAAAAATTAATTAGTTTCTGCACTGACTGTGTCTATCATGTGTCGAACTGTTTCCTTCACTTCCGTATCGGCGTTTTGCACTTCCTCTTCCCGAGGGAAATCTATCACTTTTTTCTCGGATAACGGATTCTCATCCAACGAACTGCAAGTGAAGACGACCTTCATCTGATGATCCTTCTTAGGGCTTCTGAGCTGAAGTGAACCAATGAAATGTAACATGAATGTTCAGAGAACCATTACCCTTGATTTGGGAATAGCGATCATCAAAAAAATGGGGAGAAACAGAAGTCCATGAAGCATAGAAAATGAAATCACCAGGAAGACAGTTTTGAAGAAAATTAGGACTATGTATGAGTCAACCAATGTTAAAACGAGAATTCCGAGAAGAGTTGACGAAGCACCCTATGTTGAAACATTTTCGATTTTATAGTGAACTTTCTTACCAGGAACACTGGCCAGCCCAAAGTTTCAAGAGCTTCTACTGCTCGTTCGTGTGAATTACCGTAGGCTTGCGAAAATGCATAAGCGATATGTGCTGATAAATCTACTGCGAAGCCTATACACATGATCACCTATAAATGGAACACTAAACAAAGATCTTGAATATATCACTAACGGTGATCATTGATACACTATCCAAGTTGACTCCCCAAAAGGTCATATAACCCAGTACTCCTGCAAGTTTTGATAATCTCCTTCTATTCTTAACTTTGGAATTACCTATGTTGATACTAGCTATAGCAAGAACTACGGAACATGCAGCTCTGAAGTCAGGAATCATGACAACCGTTACTAAAAACATAGAGCCTAAGCCTAAAACGAAGTTTTGGACAAGTGATGGCTTGAGTTCAAGGTACTGAAAGCTTGATATTGAGGCAAACCAGTGATTTCTTTTCTTTACCTGATCAGCAAACGGATAATACTCGTGGAAGGTTGTCACATTGAAGTGAGCGTATCTGGATGCAATCTCCCTCATTAATTTACAACTGTTCGTGTGATCTGTGGGGTTAGCATAGTTTCTCAATCCTAATTGGAATCGGAACGCTTTGAGGTCATAGAACTCCTTCAAAGATATACATATTTTTGTGTTAAAGCGGGGAAAGTACTTCTTGTGTTTTTCCCCAAACCATATCCATTTCCCATAGTCTTCGACCACCAGCAATTAGAAGCCAGTCCCTACATCTTTCATACCACTCACTTGATCTGAAAAATCTCGCTGAAGAGGGAGGTAGCTTTTTTTTCATCTACGAATTTGGCTTTTGAATGTTCAATTCTCTCAATTCTTTGTCCAAATGATATTCATATGCTTTTAACCAAATCATTGTAGCATTTTCGGCCATAGTATAATCCGTGTCTTCGAAATCTTAAGAACAGAAAATGACAACATACAGCTTCCGGAAACATACCATCTAACATAGATTGAAATTGCGCTCTTTTCACAGGATCAAACAAATCTGGAGGATTGTTCACTACTACTTGCATTTGAAGTCCTGATTATGCATTGTAAAACAAAGATGATTCTCAAAATAGTAACCTTCTAACCAGAAAGTTTCTTTGATGAGCGAATAGAAGTTGCTCAGATAGAAACTTTCACGAACTAGAAATTTAGGATCCAATCCTTCTTGCATATTGAGACAACCAAATATGGCTAATCCGATGTACAACAAGTAGAGAAGCAAAGCGCATATCTGAAAAAGCAGAAAAAAGCAGTTTCTACTTGTTCTTCAATGAAAACCTGAGTACTTCTCTCGAGAACAAATGGCCCAATGATATTTCTGAACAACTTATTCACCAAAGTCTTCGGCGAATCATCTCCCTGAATACCAGACATACTTTCTAACAAAGATAAAAAATTAAACCGATTGATCCTTTTCTAATTTATCTTCCAGCTTCTTAAAGAATCCGGCAAGCTTATTATGTTCGACGTCCGTGCTCATTTTAGATTTGTCATTGTTATTATTATTATTAGAATTAATGTCTTCTAAACTCTTCTTCTCCTTTTCAACTACATGCTTTCCTCCTAGGAAGAACAATTTCCATTTGGAGTCTGCAAATGAACAATAGTATGTCTTTAGACTAACTACTCTTGTATACTAGTGGATTCAGATGATATTGCTTTCCTGTAAGTCATGGAATGAATGCCTTCTTCTTCCAAGGTCGCAGCATAAGATAGTATTGGGGAAAAGAAAGTTAACTATAATTAATAAGTTAGAACGTAATATATGGTATAATTGCATACTTGATAAATGTATGTGAAGACAACTTGAACTGACGTGTACAAGCAGAACATCCGTACCCCTGGTAATGTAGTAAAGGTTCCTATTCCAAATGTCATCTGGATTGAATATTTTCCTCAAACTCATTTTTGAAAGAAACCAACTATATCAGTGATTGATGTAATCGTGATGGCTACGGCTGCTTCACTTAGAGTATGAGCAACTCGTTCGGATGCCGAATGCGACTGGTCAGTTCGGTGCCATTCTGCCGACATGACGAAGAGATCATCAATGCCGATACCTCAAAAGGAAAAAAATGTAACAGGACATTAGGATGCATATGGCACTTTCAATCAAACGAGAAAGTTTTGGTATATTTTTCATTTCACTTCAGAGCTGAACAGTTCTCTTATTTTTGATTATAAAGAGAACTGGGAAACATTCACTCCTTCATGATTCGGAAGAACAGATAATGGCGTTTTCATGAAACTCACAAAGAACGAGAAATGGCGAAACATTTACTATCGCGTTGTATAGTTCTCCACACCATAATAGTAATCCGAAAGATGTTACTATAGCTAAAAGAGGACAGAGAATTCCTGGAAAAATAGTTTTAGTCACTCATAAGCAAGGTCTCACTACCAGCCAAAGCTACGAGGGGCTTGCTTCGAACCCAGTCTATCCCGATTAACCCATTTCCATGATTTATTAAGACAATGCAAACAGCGAAACAGAAAGTAAAAAGAATAGAACAGGTACCTGAATATGTATCGTTTCACTTAATTAAAACATTTACCAAACGTACCGACGAACTTAGGCGTTAAGGTATCTGCAACATCCTGAAGTCCTTCGGGTAAGGATTCATTATGATTAATTCCGAATTCAAGAATATCTGAGAAATATTATCATTCAAAATAAGTTGTGCAATGCTTACCTGATACTGGATGATCCTTGTCTGTCAACCATCTGGCTAATTGTTTTCTCCAAATATAGCTTATGTTTCCAACCTTAATTATTATATATTAAATTCCCTAAAAAATAGGTCCAAGAAACCTTCTCATCTCTCGTGTTATACGTTAACCGTACAGCAGTTGCGTAATCAAAATGGCCATCGTCATCAACTAAATTGGGAACACCAACCAAGGCTCCGAAGTATATGGGTTCAGAGCCTCTCCATCCAATCGGATATGTTATATTGATCTGATAACACGCGTATGATAACTGTTCCCATGTGTGGAGTAACCTCTGTATTAATGATATCACTAGCAAACTCTGCGATAGGTCCGCTGAAATTTCCCCATCTCGACTTCGGCATAAGCATTGTCAAATGATCATTCAAGTAGCAAGCCCAGTCATACGTCATGCACAAGTCTGTGTAAGCGACCTGTGATATACATATAATATATATATTTAATGAGATTGAACTCTTACTTCATAATGCTTTCCCTCTATATCAACTGGTACAGTCAGATTATGCACAATAAACTTGTTGATCCGGGCAATCTCGTCCACATAACGTATATTGAGGATGTTAGGTCGGCCATACTGAGGGTGTTTTTTGCCAGCAACTGTGATTGAATTATGTAAGGAGTAGAGCCAACGCCTTTTATACCTATGATATCAACATATCCATTCAAATCATAACTTTTCCCAGGCCAAAACTTGGTTTCATCTAACGGCCAGTGTTCGGCCAAGATCTGAAGAAGAGAGAACTCAAAACATTTTCAAATTTCCTGTTTACCGCCCGCTCATACCTCCAGGGAGCATTCTTCGGTGAAAATACAAACTGCGGGTCTTTGGTGGTCTGAATAGAAAAGTAAAAACCAAGATCTAGAGATGAAAAAATCACCAATTGTTCTAACCAAACAAATCCATAGCCTGCGAAGGCTGTGAAAGCTAATGACGTTACAAGAAGTTCAAAACGAAACTGTAATACTATGTGAAGAGGATGAAAGGATATGACTGTTACCTTATGTACATATAATCCAATAATATAAAAGTATTTATGAATGGCATCGTCAAACCGACGTCCCATGTTCTTGAAAAAAAAAAGTTTTTTTTGGATAAGTCAATAATTGAAGCAAGAACGAAATCAGATAAACGGTTGAAGTGAGTTACAAAATGACAGTACCAATCCATACAAGGATATGATTATAATATCCTCGGAGAGATATATATGCAGATATCTTGACAACATTCTATACAAATGGTCATTTTAACCACGATCACAAGAATGAGACATTACACCAGGGGGGGAAAGGATGTCAGTCATCGATTTGTTGAAAATCTCTCCAGAAAGACTTCTAAACCTGTTTCCGATGCTGGATGATTTGACGTCAATCTGTAGCCTCAGGCAATTTAACAAGTTTAGTCCAACAAACAGAGTACCTCCTTGCTTCTCATTCTTGAGTCCTTCTGTTGATGATGCTAATTTGGTTTTTTGTTCTCCCGCTAGGTAATCTCGCGTCATTCCACTTCTTACCGATCGAAAGAAAAAAAAGGCTTTGAGTTGAAAAAAATTTTTTTTATTAACGAACGAATATACGATAAACTTTGGAATTCTGAGAATGAGTTGACAATATACAGTTATGATGGGATGAATCATTGAAAATCGAAATTCGTTTCAGCAATTAGCGGTATGTCCATCGCGAATTTCATCATTGGATTGAAGCAGAGAATCCGGAAAGGCCATCACAATATGACTGAACGGTGAAGTCTCATTGAGTATGGTTAAAATTCTATTTTTTCGCTGAAATAGGTAAAAATAAAAATAATTTTATGAATAAAATGAATTGTTGAATACTTGATGTCTACAGATGATGATTGATGAAAGGATGATAGCTAATGTTCCTAATATGATCATAGAAATAGCTAAAAATAATAGATGGTTATCAGATTCCATAGTGATAAGCCTGGCTTTGTTAGCGTAAAGATGACGTGACACGTGTAATGTATGCGCAAACGTCACGTTAATTTTCAACAGCTAATCTTTCATTTCCTACAGCAGTGAGATGTGAACGGTTGTACGAGATGTTAAATAATAGAATGAAAGTCAAAATTAGCATAAAGAGAGATTATGTAAGGGGGATGTGTTGTGTAGATACTTATGAAAGGATTATCTGAGCCCAGTTTATAAACCATTTTCAGACATTTTTTTTTGTGATGCCTTTGTCTGATTTTGGTGTTGTTGACTATCTATATCAATAATCATTCATAATAATCCATCTTCAGACAAGTAATGAATTAAATTTTTATTTTTTATATGCTTCATTTGGTAATTGAGCAATTTAGCTTAAGCTCCCTGTCTACACTGTCTTGTGATCGTTTCATCTTCTCATCTCATACTAATATATGATGTTTGTTTGAAAATTGCATTTTCTACTCCAAAATCCGCACATCAATGTCTTTGTTGATTAGGTTTTAATTATGTCTATCAAGAACTTGTCCCGATTTTCTCTATAACAGTCATGATACACACACACACACATACACAGTTTACATTAAAAAAATGAAGATTTATTAAAATAGTCTTGTGATATGCTGGTGTTTCATTTTCTGCCCCACAATTCATCTGGTTCTCTCTCTCTCTTTTCTCTCTTACGCATTTTCTCAAGAAAAATTCTTCAATATTGTACTTACCTTCCTATTTCATACATTTCCTTCCAATCAGCTATTTCCTAAAAGATTTCAGGTAGATGAATCGAGTCGACCACCCATTTTAAGGCCATCAAGGAGAAAAAAAAGTTCCATATCGCTTCTTCTTGTAGATTCTAGTCATTCTCATACATTGTTCGTATAATTTTTTTTATCACATTTCGTCATCTCATCTTTACTTCAGTAGATTTCTTGAGTCTTTCGTTTTCTATTTATTATAGTATACATCATCTGTTAATGACCATATCGGATGGCATCATAGAAAGGGATGAGGCGTGTAGCTGTGAACGGATGTTTCTGGAGTCGAAAAAATGAAAATATGGTTTGAAGTGAGGAGATTTAAAAGAATCAAATGTGTATGATGAAGAAAGAGAAAGAAAGAGAGTTTCCGCAAAAAAACAGAATACATCAGATGTCATAGATGGAGAAGATGAAGGAAGAGAGAATGATGAGTGAAAAAACGCATTGGGTGGCCAGAATGTAAGAGACTGAAGAAGAAACATGACCATAATAGATGGTATATAGGAATGACAAGTTTAAGAGGTGACAGACGATTAAGAAAAACGAAATGGCCAAAAAAACTGTGGGCAAGCACCTGGCAAGGAATGAAGGCTGAACGACAAAAAACTAGCAAAAAAAAGAATATTAGCTCGTTAAATCGCGAACGAAAGGCGATGAAAGCACAACCAGCCAAGCCCATCTGACAGTGCTCACCCCCCAAGCAATCACGTTTAGCGATGTGAGAAAGGGAAAGAGAAGGAGAATGAGAGATAAAGATAAATTGAAGAAAATAGCAGAGACGAATGAAACTAGAGAATATCTTCAGGCAAAAAACGAATGAAAGCAAGAACATCTGGTCATATTAGGTGTGCTATGTCATTCTGTTGTCATATCTTGCTTGGTGATGTCTTCTCATTGTTCGAAGCTCGGCTCATAACTAAATCTTGACTTTTAAGAGTCTTAAGACTTTTTTCGGATATGTTTCTTATCAATGTTGAAATGAAGACGTTTTCTCTCCCACACTCTCTCTCTTCTTTTCTTTTGAAGGAAGAAGGATATAGAGAGGATAATCTGTTCTTGTCGTTCTCAGTCTAGGAAATGTCGTCTGCAACTTCTGATACTCATGATGAGATTTATTCTTACGATTTCACACGTCGTCCTATCTTCATCTTCATTTTGCCGATGTATATTTTGTATTTTTTTAATTATTTAAAGAAACATTATCAAACCATATTCAGTATGGAACGTCTTCCTACTTGCGCTTTGACCATATATGGAAGAAGGATTGGGATCTATTGTCTTCTCCAGTTGATTAGGTCTTTTACTGAATGACAAATGTTAGGTTTAGGAACGCCGAAAAAGGACAGATCGACTAATAAATTAATCTCAAATTTCCTTTTGCTCCTTGTTTTTTCCACTCTGTGGTCTAATCTCCACTAGAATTCTTTACAATTTAATCTTTCCCACTCCATTTTTATCACTTTTTTTTCAAACTCTTCACATTCTCTTTGTTTCTATTTTTTTCTTCATTTCATTACGTAGAGCTTCCAATGTTCTTTTCTTGTTCAATTTTTTTATCGTTTAGTATCTTCGAAAGCACACACTAAACGAACAGATTCTCAATCGTAATTAGCCTTACTTGACTTTCTTTTATTGGCTTTTTTTTCATTTTTTATGTTTTTCTCCTTCTGGGTGGTTTAAGCCATTCTATCAAACTTTCACGGCAGCATCTCTCCTCTCTTTCAATTCCCCCTCCTTCTTCTCTTTCTCTCGTTTTTTTTTTCTGGATTCTCAAAGTTGCCCTTCAGCCATCTACAACTCTCTCTAGTAGAGCTGATTTTTCTGGCGTCTCATCCTTGTTTCAATGTGTACTAGATGATGCTGAATGACTTTTCTCAATTACTATCAGCTGTTGTTTTCTGACCAATAATGATCACTTCCAAATAGTTCATCGTTTCTCCCAAACAAACATTTTTTGTCTTTTTTTTGCAACAAACCCATTCATGGGTCTATTCTTCTCATCTGCTTATGAAACCGTATTGTCCCTTTGAGGCTATCGGCTACATATCTTCAGCTATTTTTTTTTCATTTCCGATCAGTTCTAGTCCATTCTTTCAACGAATCGCTTTCATATGTGTTCATCCACGAAAATGGTTCAGAGGCAGTTCGTCTTGTCTGTACGAATGTTACGGCATGTTTTACCTCAATTTCTTGTAACAAATAGCTCTTCGCACATATCTTATCCGTTGTACCCCCCATTGAATTTCCAAATCCTATCCAGACTCTTTTCCATCAGTTTCATCTTTTTCTGCCAGTTTCTAAACCCGTGTGTGAGAGTGCGATTGAGATTTATTTATTGCTCGGCGCACAGGCGTTCCTCTTCTCATCACCCTCCGACATTTATATTTCATACTATCCTTATTAACAACTTTGAAGCTTTCTATAGTAGTAACAATCAAGACGTTTCTATAAATCTTTGCGTTCCATTTGAGTCAATCAAGTGAAAACCATCCTCTTCCGCTCATCCATTATCCTTTTTTTTGTCTTCTGAAATCTGGAATAAAAACGAATGAAAGGGAGGAGCTGGAGGACCACCCAGCCATTCTTTTTCAAGGACAGTTTCAGTGAAATCAGTTACAGATGTTCACACTAACCTGCAGAAACTCAAATTAGCGTCACATATCTTGCTCGATTTCTGATTTCTTAAATAATATAAAAAAAAACGAAAAGTTACAACAAATTCAATGAACTCGTAAGGCGTCGATGAAAAAGGTCACACAGATCTTTCTCTCCTACATTCTCCGGCGCCAAACGAAATTATTTTAATCTTTAATTTTCTACAAAGAAAGTCTCTCTCTATTCATTGAAGGCAGTTGTTTATTCAATTTATACTTTTATAATTATGTGTGTGTGTAATGTTTCATTGGGGTAGTGAAAAACCTTTCCCATAGAAACTGTCAGCACCTTCTGATGAGATTTTTCTGCATTTTTTTGATTAAAAACTACATAGCTTTCTCATCAAAATCAGACATTCAGATACGTAGTAGTAGTATTCGAATATTAAAAGATTAAATTTCATTACAAATTACCTTTTCTTCTGTTTCCCTTCTTTCGTTCCTTCGTTTTTTCTTCGTTCGTTGTCGTTGTCGTTGACGTCGTCGTCGTCTCTGAGAATATTAACGTCTCATTCAAGTTGTTTCTGCTCTGTTCATTCTGATAAAATACGATTTTATCAATCGTTTATTTTTCAAACAAATCTAATCAATTTGTTCTTTTTTTTTTGTTGGGTTTCATTTTCATCTTTTTAATGTTCTAAGCCAATTCGGTATGATCTAATGACTTTGTGCTTAAAAAACAGCCAATGACAAAACAGAGAAGGCGGAGCCACAGTAAAAGTAAAGAACATGCTTTCACCAGCTCTTCTAGACTTCAGAAGCAATTTCTAGTATTTGTACTTAGCATTTTCCTTTTTTGGATTCACAATGCATTGAGCACTTGTGTCAATTGATTATCATTGTTGTCAGCTTTCAATCGGAATATACCTTTTGACATTCAAATCTCTCTCTCTCTCTCTCTCTCTCTCTCTTACCTTCTCTCTCTATCAAACTCTTTCTCTCTATTTTTCTAGATAAATCAATAATCAACCATTTCAGATATGAACATAGAAGATATATTACCTGAATTATTTGGAGAAAAACGAGTTTATTATTGCCAACGTTGTCTGAATCACGGTCTTCGAGAAAAGCGCAAAAATCATAAACAAAAATGTCTTTTTCGTGTATGTCAATGTAGTGATTGTATGGTATGTTTCATGAAATAAAAGTTCATTTTTCCTTATTTAAAACACATTTCATTTTTGAATTTTTCTCATATTATTTATCATTTCAGATGGTTGATAAACGACGTGAATTGAATAGCCGTCTCAATTCAATTGATATGAGTTCATCAGAAGGTGGTAGCTCCGAAGATAATCCAATGGAAATGCCAATTATGCAAACAGAAGATCATACAGACAATGGTGATGATAGCTCTTCTTCCAAAGGAAAAGGTTTCTTATTTATGTATTATATATATATATATAAATATAATTTATATATTATATATTTCTTTTTCAAACCTAACGTTAGAAAAGTCTTAAGGCAGTTGCTCTTATGAGTTTCTTCACGGCCTATCAAAATGACACTTGTGCTCGTAAAATGAACTCTTTGAAATTTGAAAAAAAACGTTTCTTCAACAGATTTTCCAATGATAATAGCTGTTACAAATTTTCATTTCTTTCAATTTATTCATTCTTAACGTGTTTTTACACTCTATAATAACTTTTTTGTTTTCCGTGAAAAATTAGACTTTGTAAGTCATTGCCTTCATTAGCATATTATTCTAATTTCATTGCAATGCGTAATTCCGAACCCGATTTTCATTTTCAAACTTTAATCTCAATGAAACGGTTGCGTCGTTGTTAAGCTGTGTGAAAGCATTTTCAACTTCCAAATCAGATTCAAAATATCTTTTTTTTTATTTCCAGAACGACGCCCAAACTGTCAACGTTGTGCTCAACACAATGTCGTAAATCGTCTAAAGGGTCATAAGCGATCTTGCCCATATCGAGACTGCTTCTGTCCGAAATGCCAGGTGTGATTCAGCGGAAGTTCAAGTACATAAAAATTCATTTTGTAAGGTTGTGGTGGAGAGACAAAAATTAATGGCTGATCAGATAAAACTTCGTAGACGACAGAAACGAGAGAAGAATATGCTGCTCGAAAGTATTCAGCCTACTCCAGAAGTTGCTCCAGGTAAATGAACTTTCGTTTAAAACATGAGACAGTCAGACTGTTTGAAAGAGTCATCCATATCTTTTATGGAAAGCTTTTATGAATTGTTTGGTTTCATCTCATTTTTTTCTGTCATCTCATCCCCATCTTCTTTATGCGTTTTTTGAACAACAGTCCGTGCGATATCCTTTTTTTTGCTAACTAATTAGCATACAAAGAATTCATCTTCAATTTCTCATCATCACATTAAGGACATGAAGAAATGATATATTAAGCATGCCGATTCATTTTTTTCAATTTGCAGCGTGTTTAAGACACTTGACTTACAGTACATCCTGTGATCCGTTTCAAAACATTTTTTGTTCTCTTAGCAAATGAGTAGAGTTAGAATAGAGGAAGAAGAAAGAATGAACCAGTAGATGAGCATGAAGATGATGCGAATGAATGAAAATAAAAAAAACAACAGTAGAAACGAAAAATAGATGAGAGATTGGATGAGAGTTGAAGAGAAGGAAAGAAAGAAAAGTACGTCTAAGAGCCATTTGCGCTTCCGACAATTCCATATAACTAACCGTGATGGAAGTTTGAAACGAATTGCTCTAATTAATGTTCCATACGACAATAAATTGTGGATTTCAATCCGTTTCTCGATTGAAATGCATATCCTGACTACTTCAGACTGTCTTAGCAAAAAAAAAGCTTTTGCCCACCGATATAGAAAAACAATTGAGATTATATGCTTTGAAGTTTGACAGCTCAATGTAGGGAATTAAGTAGAAGCTGTTCCAGTTAAGCATTCTCTTCAGCCATTTGCTTAAGAGAGAGAGAGAGAATGAGAGAGAGAGAATAAGAGAGAAAAAAATAGAAAATTTCGAAAGCATATGGTTCAACATGAATGAAGACAATTGACGTTTCAGTCATTTTTTTTGTTCCAAAATTAAGAGAAAGATAGAGTATAGAAGAGAGGGAGGATGGGTGGGTGAGCCGAAAAAAAGATTTAAAAATTAGATTAAGATGAAAATGTGAAGATAGTCATCTGAATATCTTATAATAAGCTCGTCAATTAATTTTCATTGCTTCTACAATACGATAATTCCGATTGAAACGCTTGCTGTGTGTAATCCCTTTCTCCTTCTCTTCGCTTCCAGCTATTTGTTTATTAAATCCAAGGTTCTTATTATAAATTATTTTTTTTTCAGCCGAATCGAGTGTTTGTATGAAATGTGCTCAACAAGCGTTCAGCTATCAACAACTTATGTCCATATTAGATCCAACTCATGCTTCCGATCCGTTGACAACATTAGCCACAATGCTTCAGGCTTGTCCTCATAAATCTTAAAGATTTCGTCGACGTTGTGGTCGTCGCCTATGCTGTCGTCTTCTGTGTACTTTCGAATAGAAAAGAATTTATTTTGAAATTCAAAAAACTCTCAACAGAAGAAGATGATGAGAAAAAAAAACATTTCTTCACCCATTCTTTTCCAACCTGGAACTTGAACTTAATAAAAAAAGTGCAAACATATCAGTTTATGCTTGCAAACCATCAAAGGAATAACCTTCAGCTATCGTAGATTCACAGTTTGCTATTCTGATTTCATCCACCGCTTCTGCATCTTCTCTATTCTCTTCTTCTTCTTTGTTAAGAAACATAAAAATATATTATTTTTAATATTTTAACGAAATCTTTTCTATTGCCGATGCTTTACTGATACGTGTCCATAAGTTTTGTGCATAATTATGTGAATTCCTAATTATTCTCTAATAACTTATATAATTATAGTTAATGTATTTTCATGTTAATCGATTATTAAAGAATTGTCTTTAATCGCCTCTACAGCGCTTTCTTCTATTAAAGCAAATGAGTGGAAACATCTCATTACATTTCATAAAAATGTCGTTTTTGTTCATGAAATCAGAAAATCATTTTCACAAGTCAATGAGCATTCATCTCTATATGGGTCATACATTCGAAGATATTTTTTAAACTTCTGACAACGATTGTCGAATAACAAGTTCTAGATGGAGACAATCTGAAGAACAGCTGAAAGAAAAACTTGAACTGGGATATTCCAGTATATCTTCTGAAGCCACTAAAGGAAACAATTTTCTTGTCCATTTCAAGTGAGTAGGAGGGAGTGGGTTTTCCCTCAAAATTTTCAATAATTCTTGGATAGGCTTTCATGATTGAGGTATTGGAAGAAGCGCAGAACGTTTGAGATACAGAAAAGAGATAGCAAGTATGATGGATGAAACAAAAATAAATTTCATAATAGTAAATAGTAAAGAGATAGAGTATTGAAGAGATAAAATTGAAACGGATGTTGTAAGAGCCACCCAAAAGCAGATGTTAGCCTTTGGCAGACCTCATGTCTAGTCCTCTCATACTGCTGAGAACATTTATGTGTATTCACGCTTATAAAAAGCAGTAATATTTCAATTGTCTCCAATTGCCGATAGACACTCTGAGTGAAAAAGAAAAATTAGCAAAAAACAGTGAATGGCCTCGATGAAATCAACATCAACTATTAAGATAATGGGTGGCGAATATGCAAAAGAGAACTGCATTGAAAAATCCACAAAAGGGAAAGTAATTTTGAAATTTAATCTTCCAAATTCTGTTTTGCTCCAGGCTCCTATAACCTTCCTCCTACCAAATGATGTTGTTACTCCTCTCTCACATCCGTCTACTGCAATAGAATATAGGGTTAGCAAAAACTTAGAAGGCAATAATTATTTATAATTGAATGATTGAGAGATAAATTCCTTATCACATATCTAATATCAATGTCTTTAAATTTTGAGAGTGACATGGTGTAGAACGAAATTCAAACACTCGTCCCGTCGATAGCTCAGTTGGTAGAGCGGAGGACTGTAGAGTTGTGGGTATCCTTAGG